CGAAAGTAGGTGAGAGACTGGGTTTCTAGCTTTTCTGTAAATTTGAAAATTTGAATGTCAGCATCAGTGAGATAAGCCAAAAAAAAAGGGGGGGGTAGAGTTTTTAATGCCTTCATGTTGTGATCTCTTTGTAGGACAGAGTTTTAGATTTTTTAATTGGTTAAAAAGTAGTAATGTAAATAACTTCACTATTAACATTTAACAGCAAGCCCCCTGAAGGACATCTGTTTTTTTCTAAACATTTTGTGCCATACTCAAGTCTGGGACAAGTAAATAGCTGTGATCCTGTGATTGGCTAGAAAGCAGAATCATTCTTGGGGATCTTCAACATTGAGCTTGGCAGGGGAGGACAGAGGAACCAAGTCTAGAAACTGCAAAAGTAGAGGAAAAGTGAGGTATTAGTTAAGAAAATGGGAGTAGATAGATTTTTTTTTTCACTGCATATCATTTCTCCTTGGCAAAGAGAAGGAGCAGAGGCAGGAGCCATAATGTAGGAATATATATTTACCTATAATTACCCATATTATGTGCTAGGCACTGTGCTACACACTTTAAATAAATATGCATTCACATTTTTTTCTTACAATCACTAAATGAAAAAAAAAAATCTTATTTTGGGGCTGGGGTTGTAGCTCCGTGGTAGAGCACTTGCCTAACATTCGTGAGACACTGGGTTCAATCCTCAGCACCACATAAAAATAAGTAAATAAAATTTAAAAATCTTATTTTGGTAAATGAAACCTCCTGAGGGGTTTACTGCCTATGTGGTAGGTAAAGGTTGTAACCAGAAGCCTGAGACTGTAGTCCTTGTTCTTCATTACTAAATTGTTCCGCTTTTTATTACGAACCATGTTTACTAAAGTTGAATAGCTGAGTAAAAGAAGTTGGCATTACTATTTGTAAAACATTGAAAAAAACAGAAAACACACACATCACTGCAAGTTAGTTTTCAAGTCTCATTTCAAAGGAAGGTTACATCCTCTTTCATCAAGAAGAAAATAGCCTTCCAGTGCAGCCCAATACTCCTGTCCATAATTAAATCTATTTATGCCACTTTTAGTTCTCAAGTTTTTTCACTCATGTTCTGCTATTTTTTTCCTGCTTCACTTCCTTTATTTGTCCTTGGGCCACTTCTTCAAACCCCATCTGACATCATGGGTCAGACCCCCATCTTTGACCCCACTCCTTTCACTTTTGGTGTAGGATACTACCTGGGCCCCTTTCTTGCATCCATCCGGATTCTCCAAGGGTTGGACCCAGTCACCCAGAAGGTTATCCAAAGGGGTAGAATCCATCAGCTCTAAGGGGCTCTGCATTCCCTGCCTATGGAGGAAGCAGAGTAAGAGATCATACATTCATGCAGACCACTCTCCCTTTTTACCTAGTAGAATCTAACCCTTTTCAAAGTCAGGAGAAGTAAGGTGTGGCCCTCCACTCATAGAAAGCCAGTAATAGTGAACATACCCCTGAGCCCCCCTGCCCTGTAGAGGCTGGCTGGGGGGGTCCCAGGTATGTAGGGCTCTTCTCCATTGCCTGATCTGGGCATCCCAGGAACGACGGCTGTATCTCCTGTTCTTGTTTGGTGTTTGAGGGTGAAGCCCTGGCTGTCTCTGTGCCCTGGCAACAATAAATATGGATCAGATGGAAGTCAAAGTGAAAGGACACAGCTCCCTGCTTATTACAACAAATCAGGAGTCTAGATAGAGAATTACCAGGATAGATGTAGAAGCAATACCCTCAATCCAACAAAAAAATAAATCTTCAGATTAAGCACCAAACTTCACACCTCCCTAATATTCTCCTAAAAGGGTAAATTACATATAACTTCCTCTGAAGTTAACATACAAGACAATATATGACATATCTTTAAAATAAAATACCTCCTATATTTTCACATTTTTTGGTATGCATACATATAAACATAATTTGTCAAGTATGTTTCAATTAGCCAACTTGGCTGGAGGCATGGGGTGTTGGTCAAAATTTTAGGGAGGAAAACAACCTCATTAGGAAACATGGATAAAGCTGTAGAAGGCCTTATAGGCAAAGTACAACGTTTTCTCTTTGAGAAAAAATCTCAGAAACCTATTTTGGGACTATATTACAGGAGAATTAATAATACCGCAACATTGTCAGAGCACTCAGATTCAATCACCTCTCTATCACCTGACATTGAACCATTGGTTGATACTCTTGTGACCACCCACAACTATACTCACTTGGGGACCTGCTGTAGAAAGCACCGGTAACCAGGTGTGCACTTGCCATAATCTATCTGCTTTTGCCTCCTCTGCAAGACAACTTCATCTGTCTCTACTTCCCACCTGCAGGAAAGCATACAGTGACCCACAAAGTGTGATTATAGTCATTAAGACAGAAATCAATGTATTCCACACTCCCTTACTCCCCAGCCTGATTTTCAAGCTTACCTGGCATGACAAGGCTCTGTGCTGACTGCCACACTTACCATCTCTATTCTAGAGAACAGAGACTCTTCACACACCTCTTTTCTGGTGAAGCAATTTCTACAGATGAAAAGGGATTCGGATAAAAACCAGCTGACTAGTTTGCACCTCTCAGCCACTATTAACACTAAGATCCTGACATCAGGTGAAGTTTACATATTTTTTTTTTGATAGTGGGGATTTAACCCAGGGGTCTTTACCTCTGAGTGAGCAAGCTTGCTTTCTCTCTCTTTCTTTCTTTCTGTATTTATTTATTTTTGGAACTGGGGATCAAACCCAGGGCTTTGCAAATGCAAGGCGGACGCTTTGCCACTAAGCTACATCCCAGCCCTTTTTAATATTTAAAGATTTTTTTTAGTTGTTGATGGACCTTATTTAATTTATTTATATATGGTGCTGAGAATTGAACCCAGTGCCTCACACATGCCAGGCAAGCTCACTACTGCTCAGCCCCAGCCCTACATTTGTTTTTTGAGTCAGGTTTTTTTAAAGTTGTTGAGGCTGGTCTTAGAACTTGCCATTTTCCTGCCTTAGCATGCTGAATTGCTGGGATTACAGGTATATACGCCATCACTCCTGGCTAAAATTTGTATTTCTGACTTTTTTTTTTTTYCCCTCAAAGTGTGGTCTGCTAACCATCTGCATGGGTGGCACCTGGTGGCCTTGATAATTCCTGGGCCCCACTCTATACCTATTGAATCTTCATTTTAGGGGGTCTACGTTTTAAAGAGTTTTAAACAATTTTTAATTATGAAAAATTTCAAATATACGCTGAATTAAAAAGTATAACACAATGCCTCGCTACTCAAAATATGGTCCTGGGACCAGAGACATCAACATTAGCTGGGAACTTGTTAGAAGTGCAGAACCTTGGGCTAAAATCCAGATCCACTGAATCAGAATCTGCATTTTAAGAGTATCCCCAGGTGATTAGTATACACATTAAATATTAAGAAGCACTAAAATAATGGACATCTCGACCCACACCATCGTCCAACATTCCTGACCAATTTTATCTCATCAATACCTACCTCAACCCTAACAGGATTGTTTAAATGTAAATCCCTAATATTACAAATTTCCAGAGCTGGGGAGTGGAGCTCACTGATACAGGGCTCTCCTAAACGTACTCTAGGTTCAATTCTTGCCACCGCAAAATAAATAAGTAAAATATTTTTTCAAAATATTACCTTGTCAATATTTAAACTTTCATAAACTGACAAAATTTAAGGTCCTTTGGGCTGTGGTAAGAATTAAAGGAGATGATTCAATTTCTTTCTCTAAAAAGGATTTTCTATCTACCCACCTAGTATCTCTGAGATGCTGTGCACTAAAATCGGATAACAAGGAAAGCTCTCAGAAAGAACCAATGCCGCTCAACATAAACACACCTGTCACGCCCCAACATCCGCCGCCCTGGCGGCAAATGTTCCATCTTCAGCGGAAGGCTAGTAAAACCAAAGAGGAACGATACAAGAAAGAAGCAAGGAAAAATAAACACTTCCACTCAAATTAATCTTTCCTAGTATTAGCTTAAGCGAACGGTCATCGCTAGCGAGCCGCAATTTAAATCTCCCGGGGTTGGCGGGGTCTAGGGAATAGTGAGTACGGGGAGGGTGTGGCGATTGGCCAGAGGTAGAGCCAATGGTGCGCTGAGTTCCTAGCAAGGCAAAGCTTACTTAGCAGCTTTGCGAACGCTGGTGGGCCAATTGCTTTCTTGCTGTGGCTCCGGGGTGGGACAAATATCGCCACTTCCGGGGAAAGCTCACGCCTCCGGTGATGGATGAGCAAAACTATTGGCTGTGATGGAAAGGGTGGAGTCTTGAAGGCGCGCGAAGATTGGCTGACGCAACTTACAGGCGGGCCGGGATAGGTTGCTGGGTGGGCGGAAGATTTGAATGATCCAGCCTGTGGCTGTTGGTATTTACTCGAGCTAAACCTCCCCCTGCTGCGGAGAGAAGTTGCTAGAACCTGTCCTCATCCTATCGAGTCGAGCGAGAAGCAGAACCCGTAGGTAGTCTGGTTTATTGGCTGTTTTCCTCAGATTTTCCTATCGTTCTCTCGAATCTTCGCTTGCATCCAGTCACTGCCCACTTTCCTTTCTCCTGAAAGTAAGTCTGACTCGACGTAAGCACTAGCGGTTTCTACCACAGGGTCACTGAGACCTGGTTCTTCCGGTAGGGTCTGTTCAGGCCAGAGGTCCGAATGGGCATTATCGCGAGTTAGGAGTCCCGAGTTTCTTCGGGTTAGAAGTATGAAGCTGTGTGGCCCCAAACAAATCAAAGCCCTCTCTTCACCCCATCTTTAAAATCCTCAGATTGCGCCTCCTCGGTAAATTAAAATTTCAACAAAAAGGCCTCGTCAAGTGCGATTTAAACTTAAAACCGAGTTGTGATTCACTCTTCGGAAACCCTCCCATCCCCCTTTGCCAATCCACTGGGCTGGATAGGGTGGAGGGTGTTGGAAAAGCTGAACGGTCTGTGATGTTCTCCTAGCAAGGTGTTTTGTTTTGTCCCCCACCCTCCTCCCATTTGTGAAGATTCAGAGACCATGTCTACAGAACTCTTTTCATCCTCAAAAGAAGAGGGAAGGTCTTGCTCAGGACCCAGTTTTATGTCCAATAAGAGGAAGATGTTACACCTGCTCCTGGAGAGAGACTCTTCCCTTACCATCTGTCCAGGTCTCCCAATGGACAAACTCCTTGGCGATTCTGCAAATCTAAGCATTTTGTCTGGGTAAACCCACTTTTATTTTTATACCTTATCTCCTTTGCTTTACAAACAGGCTTGTTTGTTTAATTATCCTAGCTCAAAGATCAGGATTTAGGTCCCAGCTCCACTGTTGACTGTGTGACCCTTTTGAATCTCAGGCTGCTTTTCTGTGTAAAACTATCTCACTAGGATCTTGTTTTTTTTTTTGTTTTTTTTTTTTGTGGTGTTGTGAATTGAACCCAGGGCTTTGTGCATCGAGGCAAACATTCTACCAGCTGAGCTGTATCCCAGCCCCCTCTCACAGGATCTTGTGAGAATCAAATAATGTAATGACTGGGTAAAGTCTGAAAATATTCTGTTATGAATTGGCTGCTTTATTAGCATTAATATTAATGTTATTGTTCTTGTACTTTAAATTCTGGTCATCTGGGTTCCATCCCTAGCACCACCAAAAACTAAAACAAAACAAAAAAAACAAAAACTGGTCATGATGTTTTTATGCCTCACTAGCAAATAAGGAGAAGTATTCGAAAAGTACTAGAGACTGGAGGAAAAAATCAAATCTATGTATTCATCATAAACTGGGTAGAGGATATGGATTCAAGATTTTACTCAGTTAATAAACTTTGGGCCTCATTAATTTTTTTTTTTAAATCCTGTCTCAATATCTTGGTGAAGAGAAAATGAGACACATGATGGAATAGAGAAAAATTGAGAGATTTTTCTCAAAGAAGTCTGATATTTCCAGAAAGCAATTAGATACTTTTTAGATTTTTGTGATGGTCATTGAGAGGTATTTCAAATGAAGGATCTTTGCCTTTCAAGATATTACAACCTAATGGGAATCTTAATGTACTATTATGTCTCAACAGAGGAACTCCAAAACGTTGCCTTGATCTTACGAATTTCAGCAGTGGGGAGATGTCTGCCACTTACCTTACCACTTCTGCAGACCTTGATGAAACTGGTAGGGAAAAGGGAGGTAAAGGCCTCAAAGGGAAGAATAACTTATCGGAGAAGACAGGGAAGTATGATAGAAATGGAAGATGGTGAAAGTAGGTAGAGAATCTACCTGAAGAATTGGAATTTTGAGAGTAATTAGAGGATTTTTTTTTTTTTTTTGGTTACAGGAAGTACCAGGAATTCAACTCTGGGGTGCTTAACCACTGAACAATTCCCCTAGTGCTTTTTAGTTTTTATTTTGAGACAGGGCCTCACTAAGTTTTTAGGGCCTTGCTAAGTTACTGAGGCTGGTTTTGAAGTTGTAATCTGCCTGAGTCAGCCTCCTGAGTAGCTGGGATTACAGGATTGTGCCATTGCACCTGGCAAGGATTTTTTTTTTTTTTTTTTTTTTTTTAATAAGACTGCACTTTGAATGCCTCTGGGTACATCTGCAGAGACCAAGCAACATCCTCAGCCCTTTTTTGCTTTATTTTAAGGCAGGGCCTCACTAAGTTGCCTGGTCTGGCTTCAAATTTGCAATCCTTCTGCCTTAGCCTCCTGTGTAGCTGGGATTATAGGCATGTGTTACTGTGCCAAGCTTAATTAGAGAGTTTGAGGTGAACAATTAAGCCAATGAGAAAAGAAAAAGAATAACACTAATAGGAACACTAATAAAAACAATAACATTCTACATTTGAAAAAGTTAGATAAAAGGAAATATATTTTATTGACAGATTAGTGGTACAAAAGAAAGTCCAGAAAAGTTTTGTTTCTTGGTTTAATTTCATCAGAGGCAAAGAAATCAGCATAAATAAATACTTTGTCCGTTAATTCTTATGCTTCTATAGGTCTATACCCCAAAAAATGCTTCATTACTCAACCTTTCTAGCATTTCCTCTAATTTTGGATTTCCTGCATAATAACCTTTCTTGTCTACTCATGAATAAGAAAAACTCCATCACTATTTCCGAGGTTTTCTGTTTTGTTTTGTTTGTTTTTTAAAGTTTTTATATTTATAGATGGACAGAATGCCTTTATTTTATTTATTTTTATGTGGTGCTGGGGATCGAACCCAGTGCCTCATGCATGCTAGGCAATTGCTCTGCCACTGAGCTACAGCTACAGCCCCTTTTTTGTTTTTTTGAGTCAAGGTCTTGCTAAGTTGCTGAGGCTGGTCTTGAACTTGTGGTTCTTCTGCCTCAGCCTCCTGAGCTGCAGGGATTACTGGTGTGTGCCACCGCTCTCCCAGCTTTCCTAGTATTTTTTCTTTGAGTAGTTCATGTAAATTTTTAAGTTTCCATGAAATTGTATTTTGTACCCTGGTATTTTGTTCCATATGATGGGTACCAGTTAAGAGCTTTGTGTTCTAGAGTTTAGCCTTTGAAATTAATGTGGCATACTGGTAACAAAGAAAATCAGAGGGGAAAACAGGATGCATGGACAAGAATAATGCCTCTTACTGATTCTTCATATTTGATTTCAGGTCACTTGGATTCTTCAGGGCCTCAGGAAGTACAGTTAGCTAGGATGTAAGTTCTGTTGCTAAATGAACCCCATGCTTAAAATCTTACAGCACTGTTCATAGGGATTTTATCTTATGCAGATTCCACATAGTATGAATTTCACTTTGGGTATAAGTAGGCTTCAAGGCCTAAATGCTGGACTTGAACAACTTTTAAGTTTTCTAGATCTAAATAGTGGTGTTAAATGAAGGCTATTCATTTTAACCATCACACACAATCAGAATTACTTTTTTTTTTTCCCCCACTATGCTGGGGATTGAACTCAGGGCCAAGTGGTAGACAAGTGCTCTACCACTGAGATACCCTGAGCTGAGTCAGAATTATCTTTCAAAAATAAAGGAAAATGGTACATGTGCTTATGAGTTGGCTTCTATTTACATGTGAAAAGTGTAAGTCTTAGTGATTAAAAGTACAAGTTATAGGGTCTAGAATGAGAGTGTCTGGATTCTAGTAGATTGCAATATTACCATCTATAACAGACAACTTTCTTAATTTCAATGGACCCCAGTTTCTTTATACAAAACATGGAAGTAATAATAGCACTTCTCACTGGGGCAGAGCACTTGCCTAGTCCCTGGGTTTGATCCCCATACCTCAGGAAAAGAAAAGAGAGAGGAGGAAATAAAGGTAAGATAAACTTGTGCATCTTTGGTACACCTCTTTAGATGTAGTTATGCCCATGAAATGAGAGCCTTTTCCCTTGGGTCTTACTATTTACCACAGAGAATATGTATTGTTATAGGAAGAGACTTATCTGCTAGGACTAGGGCTAGTTGAAAGAAAGGAAGGAAAAAGTTGGATGCCTCAACCCATTGAATAATTAGAGAATTTGAGGTGTTTGGGGCTTACCTAGTTGTTTGCTTTAATATTCAGGAATCACCACCAGTATGCTATGAAAGGCAGCCCAGTGAGTATCTCTTTTTGGGTTTGTTTCTTGGGGGGGATGCAGAGGGTTTCAAATTAACTCATGGCTCAAGGATGCTGGATGTTCTCAGCAAAAAATGTCTTTTAGGCACAGCTGCTTTGTAGCACTCCCAATGCTTTGGACCATGGCCATAAAAAGAAAGATGCAATGTATAGTTTAACTGCAAATAAAGAAAATGTGAGTATTTAATGGAAATATAGTCACATTATTCTTTATTTATTCATTATTATCATCATTATGATACTGTGCCGCAGTCTGGCTAGACACAAAATCACGAGCCACTCAAGCAGGAACAAACTTTATTATTTGAAAATGCCGCCAATGCCCCTTACGCCCCCACGCAGCCTTCTTCCCGCACACCAGAGGAAGTTCCTCCCCCGGAATTCCTTCCTACTGTACTTCTCCAACCAATGGGAACTCTCCAGGAGTCCCTAGCAGGCTAAGGTGAACAGCAGGCGTCCAATATCCATATGAATGCAAATCTTAACATAATCTTATCATCTCAATGGCTAGCTTTCAACCAAAAATGCCATGCATCATATTACTTGGCTGTGGCTCTTAGCATTTCCCCCCTTCTGTTAAATTAAGCAACAAGCAATGTGGCTAGGGACCGTGCCTGTTGGATTTGTCCAGTTCAACATATGGTTCTTACCCGTCATCGGAAAACTGACCTCTAGGCGTCAGCCTCCTGTCTTAGGTTGATACCACTGCAATTGGGTCATACCCGTCACTGACTACCGGTCCAGCATATAGCCATACCTGTGGATAGGCCTATGCACCAGTGGGGGGGTGAGGTTCTTTGCCTCACCTCTGTTGGCCCCCAAATTTGGCCTTGGTGCCAGTGGGGGGGGGGTGAGGTTCTTTGCCTCACCTCTGTTGGCCCCCAAAATTAGACCATCACTAGTAGAAGGGAGGAGGATACAGAAATGCCACGACACCAAGTCAATTGRYGGCTCTTTAGAAAAAATTGCAACACTGGTGACACATCAGCAAAGATACGCCAGCACTACCATAATTCGATGCATCAACAGATAGAGCACAATGCATACAAGTGATACATAGTCCAGGCAAGTTTTGTAAGCAGTTCAAAGCGGAGGAATCTATCAATATGTCCATTTCCTTCCAAAATAAATCGACTCAGTGATTGAGCATTACTTGTTGAGTTATTAWTCATTGATGCATCCGTTTAYACAGTTTGTTGTGATTACTATCGAAGAAACTGTAGTTTGGTTTCATCTTGTCTTCACTGGCACTGGGATGAAGATAGGAATTCTGACAATGATGCTAAAAAAAAAAAATTATGTAACATTCCAACAGGTACTAAGAAAACAATTTTTTGAACAATTTACAACATTGCTGAGACTGTCCTTGAATTTGGGATTCTCCTGTCTCAGTCTCCAGATTAGCTGAGATTACAGGCATGCACCACCTTTCCCAGCTCTATATTATTATTTTATTCCTTTGAGAGAAGTAACTTACTGGTTTTGGGAGATCTATAGCTATTTATATCTCAGTATGCTAGACAAGCAAATTATATCACCATAGGTGGAGAAAAATCTTTGTAATTTTTTTTTCCCCTGTTAAAACAAGAATCCTAAATCCAAATCCTCCATAGCAGGAGTTCTTGATTACTCATATTCCGTTGATTACATTAAGGACAAACGTTGTTACCATTGTGTAAAGAATTTATTTCTTAAGCTGGGTATGGTGGTGAATGTTTGCAATATCAGCTACTCATATAACTGAAACAGGAGGACTATAAGTGTGAGGCCAGTCTCAGCAACTCAGTAAGACCCTGTCTTTTTTTTTTTTTTTTAAATATTTATTTATTTATTTATTTTATTGGTGGACACAACATCTTTGTTTGTATGTGGTGCTGAGGATCGAACCCGGGCCGCACGCACGCCAGGCGATCGCGCTACCGCTTGAGCCACATCCCCAAGACCCTGTCTTAAAAGTAAAAAAGAATAACGTTGATAGTGATAACATGCATAACTCGTTCAAAGATTCTTTTCTTTTTAAAATTTTTTTAGTTGTAGATAGACAGAATACCTTTATTTTATTTATTTCTATATGGTGCTGAGGATTGAACCCAGTGCCTCACATGTGCCAGGCAAGTGCTCCAACACTGAGCTATAACCCCAGCCCTCAAAGATTCTTTACATGGAGTTTTATTTATTTGTATAGATATTTATTTACTTGATACTGGGATTGAACCCAGGGTTCTTTACCACTGAGTTACATCCCAGTCCATTTATTTATTTTTTATTTTGAGACAGAGTCTAAGTTGCTGAGACTGGCCTCAAACTTACAATTCTGCCTTGGTTTCCTGAGTCTATGAGATTACAGGCTTGTGCCACTGCATCTGGCTCCATCATCATCATCATCATCATCATCATCATCATCATTATTTTCTAATTTGTGGATTGAGAATTGAACCTAGGGGTTTGCTATGCTAGGCAAGAACTCTAAAATTCTTTTGAGACTAGATCTCCCTAAATTGTCCAGGTGACCTCAAACTGTGATCTTCCTACCTCAGACTCTCAAGTAGCTGAGATTACAAATGAGGGTACTGCACCCAACCACTTTATTTTTAGTGCTAAGGATTGATAATGCTGAGGACTGAACTATGCTAAGAGCATGTTGTATCACTAGCTATATCCCTTTAGTCCCTATTCTGAAGAAGTCATGGTTTTTTCTGTCTAAGCCTTTGACCATCTTTCAGATCCATGTTGAAATTTTCCTATCCTAGATACCTAGTCACTAAAATAATTGTGTAATTAATCCCCTTCCTTTTTTTTTTTTTTCTAAACTACCTTCCATCCCTTCTCCCAGGGTCACTGTGCATAAAGAGTTGTTGTTTTGTTACACTGACAAAGATATGTTCATGTTTTTGGCTGTTCTATTCAGATTTTTATTGATTTAATACTGTCCTTCTAATCTCCCTTTATAATCAATCACTTTTTTTTTTTTTTTTTTTTTTTGAGATTGAGTCTCACTATGTTGTCCAAGCATGCCTCCTTGGATCAAATGATTCTTGGGCCTCAGCCTCTTGATTACCTGGTACTATAGGTGTATGACACCAGGCCTAGTTTAATCAGTTTTTCCCTGCAATGTGCTGGAGACTGAAATCAGGGCCTTACATGTGCTAGGCAAGCACTATAATACTGAGTTTTACACCCAGACTTTTTTAAAAACTTTTTTGAGACAGGATCTTGCAGAGTTGCCCAGACTAGTCTTGAACTTAATGTCCTTCTGTGTCAGTCTCCCAAGTTGCTGGGATTACAGGTGTGTGCCTATCGTGCCTGGCCTTATAAACACTTTTTGAAATCTTACCATCTTCTTCCCAAGCAGGTTCTCCTCAACTCCTCAATTCTTTTGTTTGTGATGATAAAATTAACATCCTACAAGCAAATCTAGGTGCCAGACATCAAATTCAAACCATTATTTGCATCTTCAGGGTATTTAATGATTACATTTGATGTGTTTCATGAGGGTTATTCATAGTTTGATTAGACAAAATGTTTTTGGCAGGGCCCAATTAGTATGTCTCTTCCTCCAGCCAACATAGTTTTTCTTATGCAGGATAAAAACACTTTTAAGGCCTTGGAGTGGCAGATACCCAGGAACCTGAGGTTTCAAAAAAGATCAGGAGGTCCTTACATGTCTTCCCCTTCTGTGCTGGTGAGTCATTGAATATCATCATTAAGGGTAGGTTGGGGTATTATGAGCTATAGGATAGCAGATTGTGACCCTTGACTTTTTTTAATCTGGCTGTGTGAGACAGGGGTGGACAAGTAAAGTTTGAACAGAGAGGAAAGAGCTATATTTCCTTCAATCATTTTATTTAATTTTTTTTTTTATATTGGGTATTGAACTTTGGGGCATTTTACATTCAAGCTACAACCTCAATCCTTTTAATGTTTTTATTTTGGGATTGGGTCTCGCTAAGTTGCTAAAAGTCTTGTAACATTGCCCAGGCTGACCTCAAACTTGGGACCCTTCTACCTCAGTTGTTATGTACTGCCATGATTGGCTTCTTTTCTTTCCTTTCTTTGAGATAGGGCTTGCTGTGTTTCCCAGGCCGAGTTTGAACTCCTGGGCTCAATCACTCCTACCTCAGCCTCCCAAGTACTGGGTTACAGGCATGAATGACTGAAGGACCATGCCTGGTAACAGTACCTTATTCTTTTTTTTCTTTTTTTTTGATACTGGGGATTGAACCCAGGAGCACTTAACCAATGAGCTACATCCCCMGCCCCCCCCCCTTTTTTTTTTTTGAGACAGGGTCTCATTAAGTTGCTAAGGCTGGCCCCAAACTTGTGATCCTCCTGCCTTAGCCTCCCAAGCCACTGGATTTACAGGCATGTACCACCGCACCTGGATATATTTAGTTTTTTGAAGAACTGCCATACTATTCATAGTGACTGTACCACTTTACATTCCTACCTGTAGTGCATAAGCACCTATTGTCCTTATAATATTCATTTTAATGGGTATAAAGTGGTATCTCCTTTTGATTTACATTTTGATTTATCTGCTAAATATGTTGAGTATCTTTTGGTATGCTGTCAGTCTTCTTTGAAATGTCTATTCAAATCCTATTTGTTTTTGTTGAGTTCTAGGAGTACTTTATATATTCTGATGTTAATTACTCGTTGGATATATGATTTGCAAATATTTTCTCCCATTTTTTGGGTTATCTTTTAATAATATCCTTTGGACTGGGGGTAAAGCTCAGTCTTAGAACGTTTGCCTAGTATTCCCAGGCTCTGAGTTTAAGTCTTACCCAAAAAAAAAAAAAAAAAAATTTAACAAAATGTACATCCTTTAAATAAAGATAATGTCCTTCAATGCATAAAATCTTTTACTTATTTTTTTTTAATTTTATTTATTTATTTGACATAGGATTTCTTTAAGAGTGAGAGAGGAGAGAGAGAGAGAGAGAGAGAGAGAATTTTTGATATTTATTTTTAAGCTCACGGCGGACACAACATCTTTGTTGGTATGTGGTGCTGAGGATCGAACCCGGGCCGCACGCATGCCAGGCGAGCGCGCTACCACTTGAGCCACATCCCCAGCCCAATCTTTTACTTATTTACTTTTTTATACTGGGATTGACCAAGGGATACTCTATCACTGAGCTTTATCTACAGCACTTTTTATGTTTTGAGACAGGTTCTATCTAAGTTGTCCAGGCTGGCTTTATACTTATGATCCTCCTGTCTCAGTATCCCAAGTCACTGAAATTACAGGTGTACACCACCACAAATGGATCAGTTAATTTTTTATATGGTGTAAGGTAAAGGTCCTAAATAGGTTTTAATATTGTTGTTATCCTTGACAGGACAATGGAAAGTTTGCAGAAAGTGAAATGAAATATCTGGGCAGTCCCATTACTACAGTTCCAACATTAGATAAAATTCCAAAACTTGAAGACCAGGTAGCAGAGATTTCAAATGTGTTGATGGAATTTTCCCTAGAAGATCAAGAAGGCACTGAGGTATGCTGCTCCCTAATGATATATTTGTGTTTCTTCATTCTTTTTTGGTACTGAAGGTTGAATCCAGGGGTGCTTTACCATACTACAAAGCTACAAAAACCAACCCTTTTTATTTTTTTATTTTGAAATAGGGTCATGCTAAGTTGCTGAGGCAGGCCTTGAACCATGATTCTTCTGCCTCACCCTCTTGAGTTGTCTGGAGTACAGGCCTGTGCCAACATACCCAGCTCTTCATTCTTTCTCTCTCTCTTTTTTTTTTTTTTTTTGGTACCAGGGATTGAACCTGGGAGTGCTAAATTACTGAGTCACATCCTCCAGCACTCGCGTGCGCGGGTACACATGCTGTCACTCTCTCTCTCTCTTTCTCTCTTTTTTTTTCCCCCCAGAGGGTCTTTCTAAGTTGCTTTGGGCCTCACTTCTTGAGGCTGGCTTTGAACTTGGGATCCTCTTGCCTCTGCTTCCTGAGTTGCTGGGATTACAAGTGTGCATCACCATGCCTGGCTTCATTCTTTTTTGCATAAACAACATTGTATGCCTAAAATTTTGCAGTCATTGTACTAAATGTTAGGGCTGCAGAGATCAAGAAGATATAATCTTAAGACAGGTGACTTTGGAGACTGAGGCAGGAAGATCTTAAGTTCAAGGACAGTTTCAGCAATGTAGCAAGACCCTGTCTCAAATAAGAAATAAAAAGGGCTGGGGGTGCAGATCAGTGATAGAACGACTCTGGGTTCAATCTCCTGTAACCCTCCCTAATAATCATAAAATAATAGAAACTAATAGAAGGGAAATTTTATTTTCACAGCAGGGATATTTAGTTAAGAATAGGGTGTTGAACTAAACTGTTCCTAGATTGTGGGGTCTTATATGATAAAGCTGGGAAAGTCCTAGACAAACTGAGATAAAGTTGGTTACTCTAGTTCTGAAGGGTAACATACATGACAAGTAGAAGCAAGAGTGTACCTTGATAAGAGTATGTGGCATGTAGAAAGTTCCCAGTGTTGGAAAGTTCTTTGGGTTTTCAAGGACATGAGAAGCCAATGTGAGTGAGGGGAGATTTGCATGAGTTGGGAAAAAAGAGGTAGTCAGGAGACAGGACATAAAGGGCTTTTTAGACCATGGTGAATGTTTAGATTTTATTCTAAGTACAGTTGGACACTATTGGGGGCGGTATTAAGCAGGAATAGAATATGCTCTGATTTTTGTTTTATGAAGACCATTCTCAATGCTAGATGGGGAATAATGGGTAAAAATTAAGTTGGAAATAGTAAGAGAAGGAAGCTTTGCTATAGTCCTGGCAAGAGTTGGTGGTAAGCTAGGTGTAGTGGTGTTAGTTCCAGCTAATGGAGAGGCTGAGGCAGGAGGATCACCTGAACCCATGAATTCAAGACCAGCCTGACCAACACAGTGAGACCCCATCTCAATAAAAAAAAAAAAAAAAAAAAAATTAGCAGGGGCTGAGATTGTAGCTCAGTGGTAGAGTGCTTGCCTAGCATGTGTGAGGCCCTGGGTTTAATCCCCAGCACCACATTAAAAAAACTAAATAAACAATAAAAGTATTGTGCCCATCTAAAACTAAAACTATTTTAAAAAAATGGCAATAGCCTGAACTAARGTAGAGGCTATAGAGGCAGAGAAATGGATGAATTCAGAATATATTTTAGAGGATAGACTCAACAGAATTTAATAGGTTGGATGCGGGCTGTGCAAGAAGGAGGAGATTAAATATAACTTTAAACATGTTAAGTTTGACAGTTTTTTTAAAAAATATTTTTAGTTTTAGATGGACACAATACCTTTATTTTGTTTATTTAGTTTTATGTGTGCTGAGGATCGAACCCAGAACCTCACACATGTTGGGCAAGCACTCTACCACTGAGCTTCAACCCCTGCCCCAAGTTTGATAGGTTTTGATTCAAAGAGAAAACAGAAGCAATCAGAAGAAAACTACCTTCTTTTCTTGCCAAATATAGCAAATTATCTGCTTTGATACTTACATAATCTGCTATTCTACAGATATCCCTGCTCCTATCTAAAGCTCTCCCTTCGTACCACATCCTATTCATTCTATTTTTGGAGGATATAGTAAGGAGCACACCAACACAATAGAATGCTACTGTCATGGAGCTTACATTCTAGACAAGAGGAAAGAAACATATGTATAAAATGGCAGATGCTAAAAATACTCTGATGGTAAAGCAGGCAAGGAGGAGTATCTGAGCCAGGCATGGTGGCACATGCCTGTAATCCCAGTGGCAGAAGGATCGCGAGTTCAAAGCTAGGCTCAGCGGGGCTGGGGATGTGGCTCAAGCGGTAGCGCGCTCGCCTGGCATGCGTGCGGCCCGGGTTCGATCTCAGCACCACATACAAACAAAGATGTTGTGTCCGCCGAGAACTAAAAAAATAAATAAATAAATAAAATCTTTAAAAAAAAAAAAAAAAAAAAGCTAGGCTCAGCAACTTAGCAAGGCCCTAGGCAACTCAGTGAGACTCTGTCTCTAAATAAAATGTAAAAAAAAAAAAAAGGGCTAGAGATGTGGCTCAGTGGTAAACCACTGCTGGATTCCATCCTTGGTTCAAAAAAAAAAAATAGGAGTATCTTAATTGGGGTTGGCTAGGGCTAGAGTTGATTTTTCAGTATGTTAGATCAGAAAAGACCTCGTAAGAGTGACATTTGAGCAGACACCTGAAGGAGCAAGGGAGCCAAACAAACAAAAACAGGGTGAGTATGGGAGTGAGTTATTTCAGCCAGAAGAAAAAGCAAGTGCACTCTACACTCTATATACCTGAGCTTGGCACATTTGGGAATAGTAAGATCAGTGTGATTGGAGCAAAGTGAACAAGTGGAGAATGGTAGAAAATGTGGGCAAGATAAAATTAGGAGGACAGGTCATGTAGGTCTTTTTAAGTCCTTGCAAAGAATACAGAAATGCTTGAGGCTGTTGGAAGCATCTTTCTACTCTTACTTTATTTTTATTTCCTGTATTAATTTTCCCTTCTTCTAGATTAATAGTTCTCAAGTTTTTTGGTTTTGGGACTCCCTTACGAATTTTTTTTCTCCCCCCACTCCTTTACAGTCTTAAAAATTATTGAGAACCCCTTGCCTTGTATTTGATCTTAGGAGAAAAGCATTAAAAAAATTTTTTTAAAAATATTTTTTAGTTGTAGTTTACACAATACCCTTATTTTATTTATTTATTTTTATGTGGTGCTGAGGATTGAACCCAGGGCCTCAAACATACTAAGTGAGCATTCTACTGCTGAGCCAAAACCCCAGCGCACATTAAATTTTATATATTGAATATGATGTTTACTATAGGTTTCTTGAGATTCCCTTCATCAGGTTGAGGATGTCTCTTTGTATTCCTAATTTGCTGAGAGATTTTTAGCAGGAACAGGTATTTAGATTTTGTCAAAGGCTTTCTCTGCGACTATTGAGACAAACATGAGTTTCCTCTTAATCTGTTAATATTATGAATTACATTGCTTGATATTCAAAGAGTAAAACAATCTTGTGGGATGGGAAAATAATTCAGCTGGTAGAGTGCTTGCCTTGCATGCACTTAGGCCCTGGGTTCAATCTCCAGCACCACAAAAAAAAATAAAAAAAAAATCTTGCAAGCCTGGTGCAGTGTACTATATATATATAGTCTCAGTTCTTTGGGAGATTGAGGCAAGAGGATTACAAGTTTGAGGTCAGCCTAGACAACTTAATGAGACCGTGTCTCAAAATAAAAATTATTTATTTATTTATTTTTAAATTAATTTTTATTTAAGATACCATAAATAGAGGAAACACAATCCATAGCATGCAAGATGTTTGAAATGCATTATGCAATAAAGGATTTGTATATGGAATATATAGAAAGGACACCAAGAAATAATTGAATCTAAAGAACAAATTTTTAAAAAGGGACCAAAAAAAAAAACTTTGAAAGTCTGGCTGGGCACAATTCAGGAGCCACTTGTCAAAAGAAACAAACTTTATTTTCAGAACCACACACCAAACAAAACAGCTCCTCAGGAAAACCTTCAGAGCCCAACTGCAACCACCTGCTTCCCACAAGCCTTTCTCACAACCACCAGCCTCTCCACCTCCCACAATCCTCCTTCTCTTGAGGCCGATTGGCTAGGTCGCGTGAGCGGAGCCAAAAAAGTCCCCCAATGAGCAGCTCTGTGGTCTGAAAGGGCAGGGAAACAGCCCAATGAGCATCACCACAGAGAAGCCAATCAGCTAGATGTTGCTGGGGCCGCTGTGAGCCAGTCATCAGCTGGCAGTCTGAAAGTTTGCTGGGGCCCCTTCGGCTGTGGCTCTCAACAGAAAGGTGCTTCATAAAAGAGGGAAAACGGGCTGAGTTTGTGGCTCAACAGTGGAGCACTTACACATGCGAGTCCCTGGATTCAATCCTCAGCACCACATAAAAATAAAATAAAGATATTGTGTCCACCTAAAGCTAAAAAATAAATATTAAAGAAAATATTTTTTAAAAAAGAGAAACATGGTTATTAGACCTATGGTCATTAGGGAAATGCAATTTAACAACACAATGATATATCACTATACACTTGCTGGGGTATTGAAAACAAGCATGTTGAGGAGGAAAAGGTGCAAGGGGCAACTTGAATCCTCATATTATTGCTGTTGTTTTTAAAATATTTTAAAATATATATTTTAGTTGTTGATAGATAGACCTTTGTTTTATTTATTTATATGTGGTGCTGAAAATTGAACCCAAGTGCACCACTGCTGAGCCACAGCCCTAATGTTGAGTTTTTTTTTTTTTTTTTTAAGAGAGAAAGAGAGAGTTTTTAATATTTATTTTTTAGTTTTCGGCGGACACAACATCCTTTTGTTTGTATGTGGTACTGAGGATCGAACCCGGGCTGCACACATGCCAGGCGAGCGCGCTACCGCTTGAGCCACATCCCCAGCCCCTTGAGTTTTTTAATTGGTGCAGTTGCTTTGGAAAACTGACAGTACTCCTATACCTAAGCATTTTATGACCCTGAAATTCATTCTGGATGATAAGCCAGGGGAAAATGAGTGCATATGTCCACCAAAGACATGTACAACTAAATTTATAGAAACTTGATTTATAACAGCTCAAGATAGGAAATGACCTAAGTTTCTATCTAGAGTTAAATGAATAAATATCGAAATAAAATTTAAAAAGGGCTGGCCATGTAATTCAGTGGTAGAACACTAGCCTAGCCTGCATGAGATCCTAGATTCCATCCCCAATACTGCAAAATATAACAAAAAAAAAAACCACTTTGGATTCCTGTAATAACTTTACTAAGTTATGATATATGATATATTATTCTTTTTGTATTTATTTAGTTAAGAATAGGGATTTGTACTTTTTTTTTTTTTTTTTTTTGTACTGGGGATTTAAGTTAGGATCACGATAAGTTGAACTTGAACTTGTAACCTCCTATTTCAGCCTACCAAATAATCTCTCTGCTGGGATTACAGACATGTGCCACTGTACCTGGCCTGATTTGCTAAAATTTCATTGAGAATTTTTGTACTTATGTTCATGAGCTTTATTTCTCTTCAGTGTTTTGTTTTTCTTGTAATATCTTTTGGTGTTAGTATCAGTATAATGCTAGCATCAGTAAACCGTTTGAAAAGAATTTTTTTCAGTTTCCTAGAAGAGTTTTTTTTTTAAATGTTTGGTACAATTCACCAGTAAAGTCAGCTGAGCATTTCTTTGTGAGAATGTTTGCAACAAATTCAATTTCTTATATAAATATGGAACTATTCAGCTTATCTTTTTTTTTGATTGAGTGAATTTGGTTGTTATTGTCTTTTAAGGAATTTGTCTACTTCATTTACATAGTCAAATATATTGGTGTAAAGTTCTTTATAATATTACTTTAATACCCTTTTAGTGTCTTTTTTTATTTTATTTTTTTTTAGTTGTTGATGGACCTTTATTTTATTTATTTGTATGTGGTGCTGAGAATTGAACCCAGTGCCTCATGTATCCAGGCAAGTGCTCTACCACTGAGCCACAACCCCAGCCCCACCCCTCTCAGCTTTTAGTGTCTTTAGAATCCATAGTGATATCTCTCTTTCCTGATATTGGCTATTTGTGTCTTTTATACCTGGTTAAGTCTGCCTGTAGTTTGATCAATATTGATCTTTTCAAAAAAAGAAAAAATCTTTGTTTTCATTGACTTTATCATGTTTTTGTTTCATTGATTTTTTTTTCCTCTTATTTTTGTTTACTTTGAGACTGATTTGATCTTTTTTTTTTTTTTTTTTTTTTTTTGGTTTGCTGAGTCTGAAGCTGAGGTCATCAATTCGAGACCTACCTTTTGAATTATAAACATTCATTGCTTTAGCTGCATCTCACAAATTTGATTATGTTCCATTTTCAATTTGAGTTCAAAATACTTTCCAGTTTCCATTTAGATTTCTTCTTTGACTCATGATTTGTTGGTGTTGTTGTTTGCTTTAAATTTTGTGTTATTAGGAATTAAACCAAGTGCTTTGTACATTGTAGGTGGGTGTTTTCCCACTGAACCACATCCCAGCCCAACCTATGAATTATTTAGAAGCATGTTATTTAGTTTCTTAATATGTTTAATAGGTTATGGTGGGCCATGCCTGTTATCCCAGTGACTTGAGAGACTGATGCAAGAGGATTGTAAGTTCAAGGCCAGCCTCAGCAACTTAGCTAGGCTCTGTCTCAAAATAATGAATAAAAAGAGCTGGGGATGTAGCTCATAGCTCAGTAGTAAAGTGCTCCTGGTTTTAATTTCCAGAACTGCAAAAAAGAAAGAAAGAAAAAAAATAGTTTCTTAATTTTTAAGAAATTTTCCAAGGACTTTTCAGTTAATTTCTAACTTAATTCCAAGAATATACTCGCTAAATTGCCGGGTACAGTGGCGCACACCTATAATCCCAGTGACTCAAGAGGCTGAGGTAGGAGATTCACATGTTCAAAATGTTCTTAGAAATCATCTGGGCATCTTGTTAAAAATGCAGATTTTAATTTAATTAAGTAGATCTGGGGTGCATCTGAAATTCTGCATTCCAAACAAGCTTCCAGGAAATTTTGATGCTACTGGTCTCCAGACACACTTGGAGAAATAAGAACTAAGGGGTCTGATATTCTTTCTCAAACAGGCATCACTGAACAGAAGTTGCCAGGATCACTCACCCTCAATGCCAGAGAATTTGAACAGGGCAAGAATAAGGAAGGTAGTAAAAGTTAAAGACAACTAAATACCAGATAAGTGAAAAAAAAAATATTGTTCTGACCAGCAAGAGTTCAGGATGCTAACATAAAGATCTTCTATCTAATTATCTGCTTTTGTTGCTTTGGCATTGCATTAGTATGTCTTTTTTGAATTCATCCTCATTACTTTTTTCTCTCTTCATTTTTTTCTTTTCTATAACTGCAACCATTTATAAAATATTTGAAAATAAATATCTGTTAGATTATACTTTTAGAAATGATGTCATCATATTATCTTTCCAACCGTCTTTTTTTAAAGATCTGAGAGAATTCAAGGGAACTTGGGTTGGTATGGATACTTATTGCTGTTTTACATGCAGTCTGGCAGAAACAACATCATGTGGCAGATTGCAGATTGGTGTGGTAGAAAGAAACTTCAGAAAAACCTAGTCCTTGTTCCCTATCCTGTTTTTAAAAAAAATTCTAAATTTTTCGTCATTTTATAAATTCAATATGATATAAGAGACTGGGCACCTTGATAYATACCTGTCATCCCAGCAGTCTGAGAGACTGAGGCAGGAAGATACAAATTTGAGGCCAGCTTGGGCAATTTAGCAAGACTCTGTCTCAAAGTCAAAAGGACTGGAGATGTTGCTCAGTGGTAAAGCACCACTAGGTTCAATCCCCAGTACTTTAAAAAAAGAAAAAAAGAAAGAAAAAATACAAATAAGCAAAGAGAAGTCAAAGTAAAATACCTATAATCCCACAGGCCAGAAATAGTACTGCCAAAAAAAAAAAAAAGTGGAATTACAAACTACATATTTTCTAACTTACTTAGAAAATATGGGGCTGGGGATGTGGCTCAAGCGGTAGCGCACTCGCCTGGCATGTGAGCGGCCCAGGTTCGATCCTCAGTACCACATACAAACGAAGATGTTGTGTCTGCCAATAACTAAACAATAAATATTTAAAAAAAAAAAGAAAATATGTAGTTTGTAATCATAAATTTATTTCTATGCCTGCAAAATTAATCCACAATATACTTTTTATTATTATTATAAACCCTGTTATTGAATATTTAATTGGATAGTAATTGTACTCTGTTATAAACATGCCAGGATGATCCATTCTTATAGCCAAGTCTTTATACATATTGTTATTTCCTTGGGGAAGCCAGTGAAAGTATGAGATCAAAGGGTATGCATATTGTTAATGAGACTCTAATCTCCCCATCCTCAAGAGTTTTTATGTGTGTGTATTTTTATTTTTATTTTATTTATTTATTTTTGCAGTACATGGGATTGAGTCCAGAGGCACTCTACCACTGAGCTACCTACATTCCTGAACCTTTTTGAGACAAATTTCCAGGGCTAGCCTCGAATTTATACTCCTCCAGCTTCAGCCTCCTGAGTCACTGGGATTATAGGTGTGCACCAGTGCACCTGGCTTCCATCTTCTGGTTTTAAACCTTGAACATGGGGGCTGGGGTTATGGCTCAGTAGTAGAGCACTCGCCTAGCATGTGTGGGGCACTGGGTTCGATCCTCAGCACCACATAAAAATAAAAAATAAAGGCATTGTGTCCAAACATGAAATACTAAATAAAAAAAAAATTAAACCTTGAACATGAAGATTGGAGGAATAAGTAGAAATCTTCTCATTTCAGGGTTTATGTTTAAAGAAGGAGGTCTCTTTCTGTGACACTAATATCACTCAGGTCCTGGAAGAAGATTATAACCAGAGGCCTCTGATCGGTGATTTTTCCAAGGTGAGTTTGGTTATATTCATCATTTATGTGTGTATGTGGGGGTGTGTTTGTACAGGTTTCTTTTTTTTCCTTATGCATGCTTGGCAAGCACACTACCACTGAGTTGTATCGTCAGCCTCTTCCTGTATTTTAGTGAGTTGCTTTGGATTTTAATCTTTTTCTTCTGTTTTCAGAAAATGACAGGTATAATTTTACATGGTCACAAAGTACTCTTTGTTAACTTGAAGGTATGTGCAGGTAGATCTTAGTCTTATGCCTTTCCAGAGAGAAAGTATTTCTTATTTATCTAGGAAAATCCAGAACAGTGGGGAAAGTATGATACTTTTTATCTTTTTTTAAAAAATTCTAATTTGTTATATATGACAGTAGAACGCATTACAATTCATATTATACATATAGAGCACAATTTTTCATATCTCTGGTTGTACTCAAAGTAGAGTCACACCATTCATGTCTTTATACATGTACTTAGGGTAATGATGTCCATCTCATTTCACCGTCTTTCCTATCCCCATTCCCCCTCCCTTTCACTCCCTCCCTTTTGCTCTATCTAGAGTTCATCTAATCGTCCCATGCTCCCCCCCACACTTTTTATCTTCTTATTGTTAAAAATCTTTTTAAAAATTATATTAATAATACTTAGCCAATTCTGAAAAAGTAGAAAATGAAGAACTTGTTCTAAACATTATCAATCAAAATAGTTATTATGTGGTGTATGTTCCCATAGATTTTTTTTCAGTGTAATTACACAAATAACAAATACATTTTTTGTTTTTCTACAAAATTTCTTATGCTATTTTATAATCTATTGAGCTTTCATCCCCAATTTTATATTATATAATGGGATTAAAGATATAGATCAGTGGTAGAGCATTTATCTAGCATGCAGTACGGGTTTGATCCCAGTGCTGCCAAAAAAAGAAAAAAATTACCTTAGGAACATCTTTTCATGTCCACAAAACAGTTTTATTTCATCATTTTTTCATCCTCAGCCATTTTGGATTTTTGGTTTGGTTTTGTTTTTAAGACATGATTCCACTAAATTGTTAAGGGTTTTGCTAAGTTGCTGACATTGGCCTGTAACCTTCTATCCTACCCTCAGCGTCCCAAGTAACTGGGATTACAGGCATATACCACCCATACCAATCCTTTTATCATTTTGAATAGCATACATTATTTAATTTTTTGGCTGATTATAATTTATCATAAGTTTCATCTTGTGGGATATTTAGCTTTATTTAGTTTTATAATTTTTCCTTATAAATGAAGTGTGTGTTTTGTAAAGAAATCTAAAACTTCATACACATCCTTCATTAGTTCCTTGGTATCAGTTCTTAGAAATAAAATTATAGGTACAGTTACACACGTCTGTAATTCCAATGAGTTGGGAGGCTGAGGCAGGAGGATCAGCAACTTAGCAAGGCCCTAAGCAACTTAGTGAGACCTTGTCCCAGAATAAAATACAAAGGGCTGGGGATGTAGCTCAGTGGTTAAGCCCATCTGGGTTCAATTCCCTAGACCAAAAAAAAAAGAAAAGGAATTGCTGCATATACATGTTATAGAGACCATTGATTTTTTAAAGCTTTGGGGTTTTAAGAATCTTTTGAAAGGAGGACAATATATGGGTCTTTGATCTCAGGCTTGGTTGGGGAATACTTGCTGTTATTTCAGCTTTTGGGTATTTCTAGGTATGTGTGCTGCCAGTCGTGTCAGGGAGACACCAGGATCTGAAGTACATCAACCCAGAAACAGTAAGCAGATTTCTGGAGATGGTAACTGGTTGGTTACATAAGCTACCATCTGGTCCATTCTGTTACTAAAATCCGATTTCCATTTGTATTTCTTTCATTGTGTTCATTCACATAGGCTCCTTATTCAATTGAAACTGTATTAAAGTACTCCCTTTTTTGTCCATTTTTCTGATTTTTTTGTTTTAAACAAATGATGCATAAGTATTTTTAAAAAACAGGAAGGAAGGAGGGAGGGATGCAAACACAAAAAGGAAAAAAACACCACTTACCTAGGGTCTCAGATAAAGTAAACATAAACCTTGTCTTTACATATTATAATCCCTTTTATACCTATTAGGATAATTATTAATAGTGTTCTCTTCCCTCCCACCCCCACCCCCAGTACTAGAAATTGAATCCAGTGGTGATCTACTATGAGCTGTATCCCCAGCCCTTTTTTAAATTTTATACTTTGAGATAAAGTCTTACTAAGCTGCCAGGCTGCCCTTGAACATGTGATCCTCTTGCCACAGTCTACTGAGTAGCTGAGATTTCAGGTGTGGGCCACTGTACCCAGCTCATGTTCTCTTTTATTCTCAGAAGTTTCCCAGTATGTACAATAATTATGTGGTCTCTTGACTCATAGTCTTACCAGCAAAGATATAACCACTAGAGATATTTTCTAGATTTAATAATAGTATGTTTTATAAAAATGGGAATTATGCCAAGCATGATGGCACGTGTCTATAGATCCCACCTACTTGGGAGATTAGGGCAAGAGGATCACAAGTTCAAGGCCAGCCTGGGCAACTTAGTGGGACCCTATCTCAATATAAAATTTTAAAAGGGTTGGGTGGTCTAGCTCAATGGTAAGTTCTAGCCTACTATGCACAAACCCCTGGATTTGATTCCAGTACCCCCCCCAAAAAAAGTGTTGGAATTAGAAAGACATCATAATTGTCTCTTTCTTTTCTTTTGAATCTGGGGATTTGAGGTGCTCTACAACTGAGATACATCCCTATGCCTTTTTTTTTTAAAGTATTTTTTTAATATTTATTTTTTAGTTTTCAGCAGGCACAACATCTTTGTTTGTACGTGGTGCTGAGGATCGAACCCGGGCCACATGCATGCCAGGCGAGCGCGCTACTGCTTGAGCCACATCCCCAGCCCCTATGCCTTTTTATTTTTTATTTTGAGACAGGGTTGCTCAGTTGCTGAGGCTGCCCTCAAATTTGTGATCCTCAGGCCTCAGCCTTCCAAATTGCTGGGATGCCACCACACCTGGCATATACAAATTTCTATATCAATAAAAAGATATATATAGTATCATTTTAACTGCTATTTAATATTCTGCTGTATGACATGTATAATTTACTTAACCAACCCCTTATTAAATATTTTTTTAAATATTTTTTTTTGGTGGTAGTTGAATACAATACCTTTATTTTATTTATTTATATGTGAAGCTGAGGATCGAACCCAGGGCCTCATACATGCTAGGCAAGCGCTCTACCAGTGAGCCATAACCTCAACCCCTTATTGAATATTTAACTTATTTCTAATATTTTGATAACGTAAAACAATGTTGTATTGAATATCAAATTGTGCCTCCATCTTTGTGTATTTTTCTATTTCCTTAAGATGTTAGAAGCCAATCATAGTGCACATCTGTAATCCCATCTACTCAAGAGACTCAGAAGCATCACAAATTTGAGGCCAGCCTGGGCAACTCAGCTACACCCTATTTCAAAATAGGAGTTGGGGATGAAGCCTAGTAGTAGAACACCCCAGGTTCAAGTCCCTCCCCCTTCAAAAAAAAATGTTGCAAGAGAAATTCACAGTGTTCTCTCCATTGTGAACCAATTTATACCTCTATAAGTAGCTTAAGTTTCTACCTCTAAGTATGAATTCTTTTTTTCTATGTCTGAAAGACTTGCTTTTTTTTTTTTTCTTCTTCTTCTTTTTTCCCTTCTTTTTTTTCAGGGCCAAGGACCAAATCCAGGACCATGCATATGCTAGGCAAGCAGTCTGCCTCTGGCTAAATCCCCAATCCCAAGGCTTGCTTTTGAAATTTTTATTTACTGAGGATTGAACCCAGGGCCTTATGCAAGCTTTTTTTTTTTTTTAAATAATGGCAGGTGGGGAATTTTTTTCCCCATATCTTGTAAAACTGGTATCTCTAGCTGCTAACTCTGCTACTGTAGAAGTCTTTTGAAATCTCCTAAGAAGCTAATTCCAGCTATTCCTACCTCTAAATGGGTAGCTGCAGTAAGGTCTTCCTTGGTGTCCTGGCAATACTAGCCATTTTAGAGCCTTACAAATGCCACTTCCATTTCATAATCTTTTTTTTTTTTTAAGAGAGAGAATTTTTTTTAATATTTATTTTTTAGTTTTCGGCGGACACAACATCTTTGTTTGTATGTGGTGCTGAGGATCCAACCTGGGCCGCACACATGCCAGGCGAGCGAGCTACCACTTGAGCCACATCCCCAGCCCCCATTTCATAATCTTATGTGGGGTTAGGCTGAACCATGGCCACATTGTACATATGGGTTGACTCTTGTCTGTTTGATTATAGTGGAATCCTGGGTGACTAATGGGAGCATGCACATAAGGAGCAATGTGATTGACACTTCTCTGTCAGAGGGCAATAAGCAGGGTATTCAATCATTGTTTCTATGTAGGTGGCTGCCTTACTGTCTGGAAAATTCCAAGATCTGATTGAGAAGTTTTATATCATTGATTGCCGCTATCCATATGAGTACCTGGGAGGACACATCCAGGTAAGGTTACATTGTGAACATTAGCAGAGATAGGCTAGATATGGGACTTAATTTCTTTCTTTCTTTCTTTCTTTTTTTTGGGGGGGGGAATTGAATGCAGGGGTGCTTAACCACTGAACCATATCCTCATCCTTTTTTATTTTTATTTACTTTAATATTTTTTTAGATGTTGATTAATCTTTATTTTTTTCATTTATTTATATGTAGTGCTGAGAATTGAACCCAGTGCCTCATACATGTAGGCAAGCACTTTACCACTGAGCTACAACCCCAGCCCTAATTTTTCTTGAGACAGGGTCTCTAAGTTGCTTGGGGCCTTACTAAGGTGCTGAGGCTGGCCTCAAACTTGTGATCCTCCTGTCTCAGTCTTCCAAGTCACTGGGATTACAGGAGTGCATCACTGTACCTGGCAAAGATGGGACTTTCTTGAAATGAGTGTGTGGATAAAGAGTCCTGTGAAGTTTAAAACCAAAGCAGAGATTATAGATTTGGAACACTTCCAGGCTGAAATTCTCATTCCTATTTTAATTCTGTATACCTTGAACAACTTACTTTTCTTTTCCCTTCTCAACCGATCTCTTCTATCCACAGACTGAAAACTGTGTATGGACATTCCTTGCAATGATCCCTATACTCCAGGTGATTCAGTTCTATGCGTATTTATTGAGAATCTACTACATACCAAGTTCTAAGCCAGGCCCTGGAGTAGATACAGAGATACACAAAGGTCCCTATTTGAAAGTTCTTTTTGTCTACTTTTTCTGACCTAAGTGTCCCAGGATGCTATACTAGTCATTTCTAGTATTGATACTTTACACAGGCTCTGGAGGGAATACTAATTAAAATTCCTCCTTGGGCTGGGGATGTGGCTCAAGCAGTAGTGCACTCACTCGCCTGGCATGCATGCGGCCCAGGTTTGATCCCCAGCACCACATACAAACAAAGATGTTGTGTCTGCCAAAAACTAAAAAATAAATATTAAAAAAATCTCTCTCTCTCTCTCTCTCTCTCTCTCTCTCTCTCTCTCTCTCTCTTTAAAAAAAAATCCTCCTCTATAGGGAGCCTTAAACTTATATAGTCAGAAAGAACTATATAACTTCTTCCTGAAGAAACCCATTGTCCCCTTGGACATCCAGAAAAGAATAATCATCGTGTTTCACTGTGAATTCTCCTCAGAGAGGGGCCCCAGAATGTGAGTGTCTACATGGGATAAGGTGGGCAATAGAAATGGATTTTTTTTCCCCTAATAATGGGAATTGAACCCAGGGGTGCTCTACTGAGCTATATCCCCAACCCTATTTATTTATTTATGAAATAGGGTATCACTGAGTCATGCCATCATGCTTTGAATTTGTGATCCTCCTGCCTCTCCCTCCTGAGTCCCTGAGATTATAGGCATGTTCCATGGCATCCATGTAAAAATGGATGGATCTTGAGGTGGACGTCTCACACCAGTTTAGATGGAGATTGACTGGATGCTCTCCAATACAATTTGAAGAATGTTAGGAAGGTTGAAAATCAAATATGGAACAAGCCAGTCACAATGGTACACTCCTATAATCGAAGCTGCTTGAAAGGCTGAGGCAGGAATATCTCAAGTTCAAGGCCAGCCTTGGCAACTTGGCAAGACCCTGTCTCAAAATAAAAAGAACTTGGGATATAGCCCAATTGTAGAGCTCTGGATTCAGTCCCTAGTGCCACAAAAGAAAAGCAATACAGGGAAAAGGATTGAAAATGAGGCCCCAGAAGAGGAAAGGAAGAAGAGGGGTGATATTTGGACCTTGTTTTTTCAAACACAGAAGGTTTCACTTTGTGTGTGTGTGGTGTTGGTGATTGAACCCATGGTTATATGCATGCCCAGGGGATTCTGACCTTGCTTCTTTCCAACCTACCCACCCCTACAATCTCTGGATTTTTTTCCTAAAGGTGCCGCTCTCTGAGAGAAGAAGACAGAGCTCTGAACCAGTATCCTACCTTGTACTACCCAGAGCTATATATTCTCAAAGGCGGCTACAGAGACTTCTTTCCAGAATATGTGGTAAAGGGTAGGGCACAGGGTGGAAGGCAGACTAAGGGAAGTTAGCTCTAGCATGCAACACACAGAGGCTGCAAAGCCTCTGAGAAAAAACTGTTTCTTTTTAGTCATAGCCAGCAGCAGTATCTCTGTTATACTTAGTAGATAGAGTTCAGGAATCTGGGGAATCCCTTACTCTATTCTCTGCCTTTCAGGAGCTGTGTGAACCCCAGAGCTACTGCCCTATGCATCACCAGGACCACCAGGCTGAGCTGCTGAGGTGTCAAAGCCAGAGCAAAGCTCAGGAAGGAAAGCGGCAACTGAAGGAACAGATTGCTCTCCTATTGAAGGACATGGACCTGTGATAGTGGATGAAGAAGTGGCAGCAAGCCGGGTGCGGGGGCACGTGCCTGTATTCCCAGTGGCTCAGGAGGCTGAGTCAGGAGGATAATGAGTTCAAAGCCAGCCTCAGCAAAAAGCAAGGCACTAAACAACTCAGTGAGATCCTGTCTCTAAATAAAATACAGAAAAAGGCTGAGGATATTGGAAAAGAAAGAAAGAAAGAAATGGCAGTGAGCCTTTTGTGGTGGCGCACACCTGTAATCCCAGTAACTTGGGAGGAGGAGGCAAGAGGATTGCGAGTTCAAAGCCAGCCTCAGCAAAAAGCAAGGCACTAAACAACTCAGTGAGATCCTGTCTCTAAATAAAATACAGAAAAAGGCTGAGGATATTGGAAAAGAAAGAAAGAAAGAAATGGCAGTGAGCCTTTTGTGGTGGCGCACACCTGTAATCCCAGTAACTTGGGAGGAGGAGGCAAGAGGATTGCGAGTTCAAAGCCAGCCTCAGCAACTTAGCAAGGACCTAAGCCATTTAGTGAAACCCTGCCTCAAAAATTAAAAAGCTGGGGATTTAGCTCAGTGGTAATGTGCCCCTGAGTTCAATCCCCAATACCAAAAAAAAATGACAGTCGGCTGGGGATGTGGCTCAAGCGGTAGCCCGCTCACCTGGCAGGCGTGCGGCCCGGGTTCGATCAGCACCACATACAAACAAAGATGTTGTATCTGCCGAAAACTAAAAAATAAATATTAAAACACTCTCTCTCCCTCTCTCTCTCTCTCTCTCTCTTTCTTCTCTTTCTCTCTTTAAAAAAAAAAATGGAAGTGAAGGAGTCACCAAAAGACAGCCTCCTCCTCAGGGTTGCATACTATCTTTCATATGGCTAAGCCCAAGATTGTTAAAAAGATGCCTGCAAACCTCCAGGTGTGGTGCATGCCTATAATCCCAGTGGCTCAGGAGGCTTAGGCAGGAGGATTGTGAGTTCAAAGCCAGCCTCAGCAAAAAGCAAGGCACTAAGCAACTCAGTGAGACCCTGTCTCTAAATAAAAGACAAAACAGGGCTGGGGTAGTGGCTCAGTAGTCAAATGCCCCTGAGTTCAATCCCCAGTAGTGGGTGTCGGTGGGTGGGGAGTCTGCAAACCAATAGGCTGTTCCACTAATGAAATCCTAGGCTTGGGAATCGGTTAGGTTTAAGTAGAGCTTGCTAGCTGGTGGCTGAGTCCTGAAGCTGGATCTATAAAGGTCTAGTCTTGACTTGCATTGAGATTTGTGTTGCTTCGGGGAACTCTTACATTTTTTTTAAATTATTTTTTAGTTGTAGATGGACACAATAATTTTATTTGTCTATTTTTATGTGGTGCCTGAGGATCTAACCCAGGGTGTCATGCATGCAAGACAAGTGCTCTACCATTGAGCTACAACCCAGCCTCTCTTACATTCTTCTTACAAGTCAGAAAGATCTTTCTCTCCCTGGGCTTATGGGTATGCAAGAAAGTTGCCTTCTTTCTTGTATTTTCCTCCTGGGAAAGTAACTATTGCAGAATGAGAAATGGGTTGTGAGCCTAGAATGCTCCTAGATAATCTATATAAGGAGATGATCACCAAATTAGACTTCTTTAAGGGGGACAGGGATACAGCTTCAATGGTTGAGTGCTTGCCTAGCAGTCACAAAGCCCTGGGTTCTATCTCTAGCACCACGAGAATATTCTAAATTGGCCTCCTTTAGACATAAAAGTGTTGCCATTTTTATTCATAGCTGAGGCCAAAGTGTTTTCTTCAAAACTTGTTCTAAAACTTTGGACTCTGGACCATCAGCATTATCTGAATTTTTGTGAAATGCAAATTTTCATGGCCCACCTCAGACTTTGTCAGAACCTCTGAGGTTAGGGCTCCAAAATTTGGGTTTTAAAAAATTTCCCTTTTCAAGTGATTTGATATATGCTAAGTATGAGAACCACTGCTCTGGAATTAAGGAAAATGCTTTAAATTGTATTCTTAGCAATATCCCAGGTGTTTCTTTCCTTGACCATTCCCTGGTATGAGTTGCTTAAAAGTGTCCCCAGACTTGGCACCGTGTGATCTCTAGGCCCAGAAAGCCAAGATGAAGCTGGGTGCAGTGGTGCACGCCTGTAATCCCAGCAGCTTTGGAAGCTGAGGCAGGAGGATTGCAAATTCAAAGTCAGCCTCAGCAACTTAGTGAGACTCTGTCTCTAAATAAAATACAGAAAAGGACTGGGGATATAGTTAGGTGGTTAATTGTCTCTGGGTTAAATCCCCTGTACAAAAAAAGAAAAAAGATGATTAGCATTCTCCAAGGTAGATGATAGATCTGAATTAGATTCAGATTTCACTTGTTTATAATGGGATTTTGACTTTTGCCATTTCCTATATTCTCTCTTCCATTTTACATCTCATAAGGCAAGTTTAGGATTCAGGGAGGTAAGAGTAGAGATCTGTGTTACGTGAAGAAAGGAATAAAAGAGAATAAAAATATAGTATATTAAATCAGTTAGATCCAAGGAAGACCTTTTAAAATGCATTCTTCAGAACATTAATTCCAGATTTTCCTTTATTAGAGCTCTTTAAAGTGAGTAGACTGTATGTGTGTTGAGTTACAGCCTTACTTGACCTGAGATAACTGAGGGATTCACTGAACATGTCATTCTCTTGCATTGACCTAAGAGTATTGAAAGCCCAGGACAAGGGAAGAACAAAGTACTTACCAAAGTAAGGACAAAGTATCTTAGCTTAGAGCAGAATAGAGACCCCCCCCCCAAAAAAAAAAAAAATCTTCCTGGGTTCTAGAGAAGGGCAACTTTTTTTTTTCCCCCTTCAATGAGAAAGGAGTATTGTAGCCATTGGGCAACGCACACCATCATATCTGAGCTGCTGGACTGATTTTTTTTTTTTCAAGGTTCCCAAATGTTCTTGCCCTAGAATGCCACTTGTGTGCCTCACAGCAGAGGGCACTGCTGTATTTTCCAAGACAGTCAGCTGGAGTCTGCAGCCTCCTGTGCTAGCTACTGCTTCTCTGTCAGGATGAAAGTTACCTCCCTGGCCTTCTCACTAAGTTTAGAGCTCAGAGCTCAAAGGGAGTGTGAACTTAGTTCAGTGGAAACAGCTGAGGGAAAGATCTGCTACTCTGTTCCACCTGCACATGAGCCCCTGTCCTCACCTCCACAAGCAGTTCTTAGTAACCTGTGGAAGCAACTGGTTGAAACACCCCTCTCCTAAGTGTAATTAGTGGTCCTGAACTCTCTGCCTTTATTGGTATGTCATTTCCTGATTATTTTTCCCAGAATGGTAAAACTATTCCTGACCCGATAAGCAATTGGCGTCCATGTGTTTACATTTCAATAATTTTGTTTAAGAGAATTTTTTTAATTATTTTAGTTTTTCGGCGGACACAACATCTTTGTATGTGGTGCTGAGGATTGAACCCGGGCCGTATGTGTGCCAGGCAAGCACGCTACCACAAAGTAAGGATAAAGTACCTTAGCTTAGAGCAGAGCCACATCCCTAGCCCTACATTTCAGTAATCTTAAGTGGAAAATCTGATTAGTAAAACAAAAAAGTAAGGCATGATTATCTATGAAAAATTATATTTTCCTAAAAGGCAAACATTTCCCATATAATTTCTTGTAATCTGTTTTTGGGGGTGATTGTGCTGAGGAGTGAACCCTTGGCTTATGCCAAGCAGATGTTCTACATTGAACTACATCCCATTTTATATGATTTTTTTTTTTCAGTACTGGGGTCTCATACATGCTAGGCAAGTGACCTATCATTGAGCTGTATCCCCAGCTTTCCCGTATGTATTGTATAGGGACTGTGATTTGATTCATGTTATTTTCAGGAATAATATTAGCTACTGCATTTTAGGTGCCTAACTGCATATAAGACTCATATACATACAAACATATTTTCACAATAGTTTCATGAGGCAAGTACTCATTATTTGTATTTTTGTTTTGTTTTATGTGCATTTCTTTATTGCAGATGAAGTTGAGACTGGGCTGGAGTTGTGGCTCAGCATTTCAGTGCTCACCTAGCACATGCAAGGCCCTGGGTTAAATCCTCAGCACCATATAAAAAATAAAAAAAAAATAAAGGCATTGTTTAAAAAAGAAAAGAAGAAGAAATTGAGACTAAATAATTTAAGACCACAAACTGTAATACCAGGAACTCTAGAGGCTGAGGCAGGAAGATTGCAAGTTTAAGGCCAGTCTCTACAACTTAGTGAGACCCTGTCTCAAAAATAAAAGGAACTGGGAATGTAGCAGTAAAGTGCCCCTAGGTTTTGAACCCCAGTACAGCAAATTAAAAAAGCTAATGGTAAAATTGAATTTGAATCCAGACAATATGGTTCCAGAGTCTGTACCCTTCATGCGTGGATTTTGCTATTACCAAATTCTCATCAAAGAACAGTGAGGGGAGCCAGGGTATAACAGCTTAATGGTAGAGGGCTTGCCTAGCATGTGCAAAGCTCTGAGTTTAATCCCAACAACAACAGAGAAACATCATGTCAGCGTGTAGGGAGTTGGCTCTCACTGGTGCCCTTAGAATTTGCTCATCATGAGGTCAAGTAATAAAGCATAGAAATCTTTTGGCCTAACAATTGACTGGTTATCAATCATAGTCCCATACCTGGTTGACTTTATCAGGAGTATAAAGTGGGAGGCATGGAATATTCTCTACCCATTCAATTCAAGCAAATGTTAAGGAAATACCAATTCCTTTAGACATATATTTGAAGCTGTCAATCCTAAATACCACAGATATTCTAATGTGATACAATACCTGCTTTTAAGAGAAGGTAGAAAATGATTCTCTTTGTTCCCATCCCTACAAGCACTCTGTCCTAGCACATTCAGAAAAAGGAAGAAATACTGCAGCCTCCAGCTCTAAATCAGAAGGTCAAGTGGTGGGGGCTGGCCAACTTCATAGAATAATTAACTCCTACATGCCACCTGGGATGACATCATTTACTCAGTGCAATGTTACAGTTACAATGTTAACTATGCTAAACCCTATACTCTACTTATTTAATCTTTATAATGTTTACATGAAATAGATACTATTATTCTTAATTTTACAGATGAATAAATGGAAGTATAGAAAAATTAAGGGATTGTTTAAGGTCACTAGCATAGGTTGGAGATTACCCAGGCAATCTGTACAGCCTTTTGTCTTAACTATTCACTAGGCTGCTGTAGACCCAGTTTAGGATAGCATTGGGAATTAAAGCCCAACAAGGACAGAGGACTTGAGAGAAGGCAGAGTCCATCAATTGTGACCATAAGAGGAGGAAATCAACATTGCAAATGGAAGTACAGTAAGACACAGGTACTTTGGACCTTTGAGTCCCAATCAGTAGTTTGTAAGCCTCACTCAGGGCAGGGTTTGTGCCATTTCGCACCTAGCATAAAGACATTATTGAATTGAATTGATGGCTAATACCTTGGTAGAAGAAGGCTCATTTGTTATCCATAAGGTTCCCAGTGGCAGTGTTTTTTCTATCTGGCAGGTGTTGGCAGTCACAGCAGCACATGGTTGGTGGGGAGAGGATATGCTGGAAGGGCTGTCAATATTAGTCTTGGAGTCATATTTATTTGCAGAGGCTTCTTCAACCGTCCCCTAGCCTTGGTTACTAGTCCCCATTAAAGGACCTATGATGTTAGGCTTTCCACCCTAGTACCCAGATTTCATTTAATCAAAAAGGCTGATCTCTTTCAGGTGAAATTGGACATTGCTCTCAGCCTGTCAGCTTGACCCTGTTCCTACATTCCTTCAGGACATCATTGGATAAGCAGTAGGCACTCTCCTACTCTGAATTTGACTTGATGTGGTTGCTGGAGGAAGGGGATATCCCTTGACTACTCCACATCTTTGTGGGTTTATGGGTCTTAGGCCTTTTTTTTTTTTTAGCATTTCAATCACCTGAAAATATTTCCTTTTGCTTTGTAAATTCCTTATGAAATTATTGTCAGAGTGGAGTGGAAAGTTGAGCCTAAGAGCAGCCCTGCTACAGGTTTTCTAACTGCACTGGAGGCTTGGGAAAGTTCCACAGAGGCAGAAAAGCTGGGAGAAAACAGGGTCTGTACAATAGCCGGATAGCCAGATGTTCATTTTCGCAACTCTCCTGTAAAACTGGCAGGGCAGATATAGATTAAAAAGAAGCACAAACTCCATTTAAAGTGCATTACAGCTCAGGAACCAGCTCCCCCTGGGCAGGAGAAGAGAGGGAAGGGCACAGAGGCCACATCAGTCTCCTTCCTTATCTAGGGCCACATGTCTCTTTCCTAGCTTTGTGAAGGTTGATTTACACCCCTGGCCGGAATGACTCTCTTTCTGGGCTGATTACATCGGCAAATGCCCCCCAGAGGCCACAGCAGGATGGCCATGTTCAGAAGCAGCAGCCAATAAATCTCAGAGGTTTATATTGCACTTTGCAATAGCCTCCCTCCTGGCCTTCTGCCAGGTGGACTGTGGAAGTAAGGATAGGGCCCAGGTTGGAGTGTTAAGGGATGAACCTCCACACACTTTCTTTCATCATCCTCTTTTTTCTTCTGGGCACTGGTTAGCTCTTATTCTTCCATGTGGTTCTATCTTTACTCTGGGAGCTGGTGGGAATTAAGCCTTATCCTTTACCGGTAGATTCTGGATTCTGGGCACAGCTGAGTTTCTACCTAGTTTAATCCTGGCAGTGGAGCTTTCTCTCTGAAACTCATCATCTGAAAATGATGGGGCTTCTGAATGGTCTCTCCAATCACCTTCTTCTGTGATCTTGTTTGGTCCAAGGAAATCTCTGCTATTTAGCTAAGATGGGTGGAGGAGCTGAATTTTGAAGCAGTTTAGTCAGGTAAAGCTCCTGGGAAATCGTCCCAGTTATGCTCCCAGCAAAGTCATTTCACCTTTCTGGGGCCCATCTTTTAATGAACACCATAGAATCTTACTCTGGAAGATACTTGAGCGGGCAAATGAGATAACAGATGTGCACATTCTCAGAGAAAAAAAATACTAGAAACTCAGGTACCCTTGTTTGTTCAAATTTTGTTACAAGATTTCATCTGTGGCTATTGCTGATGTTCCTGAGATGAAGAGGCGGGGTTGGGGAAGTGAGAAAGGGTGCTTTTATGGGGGAAGAAATATTAACCTGGCTGAAGAGTCTCCAGCGGTAGCTTCCACAGTCTTGCTAAGCGAAGTTGTTAGCAGGTGGGCAGATTCGGGTGGAGCACCCTCTTGGGTGCTCGGTCTTCTCAGTCCAGAAGAAGAGGCGGAGTGGTGTGGACTCGCGCTTTGGAGTAGGAGGGCGGCGCCCCGGACCCTGGTGGGGAGAGTGCCGGCGCCGCCCTCGAGGAGGGGCTGGAGGCAGCGGTGGGAGGCGCCGGCGGAGGGAGTCCCGCTTTCTGAACTCAAGCTCTAGGAACCGGGAGACAGCGGTGCCCGGCATAGGCAGAGCGCCCTCGGAGGCGGACACCTGGCACCCACACCCCGCCATGGTGCGCTCCGCCAGCCGGCGGCTGTCGCCGGTGGTCTTGCTGCTGCTGCTGCTGTTGCTGCCCCTTGGAGCTGGTGAGTGTAGTCTGTGGGTAGGTGCAGCTGGAACCCGCCGGTGCTGCAGGGAGGGGCAGGTGGAGGTGAGCATGTAGGCGGGACTCAGTGGGTGCAGCTGCCTCCAGGTCCCGTGTCTGTGTCAGTTCTGGAGTCTGGGAAACTGGAGGAGGAAGACCAGAGGGCCCTGAATACCATGCCTAATACGGTGTCTGAACTCATATAGATTGAGTGCCAGCATTGACCTGGATAAGCAAGTATCTCCTTGCTCCTTGTTCTCCCCCTTCTCTCTTTTGTGACGCATCTACACAATTACAAAATAACCTGCAGCTAGTCTACTATAAGACAGCATCGCTAGGAAGCAAGAAGAATCTGATCATGGGCTGGACTGCCATTTCCTCTAAGCGGCCTTCAACTTCTCTTCACGCCCTTTGATGTTGTAAGCTGGCCAGAACTTGCTAACATCATCATTTGGTTGTGTGTTGAGAATTTGAAAACTACCCAACTCCACCATACCATATACTTAATAATTATTATTATTGTTTTTTTTTTTTAAACCAGAGATTGAACCTAGAGGATTTACCCACTAGGTCACACCCCAAGCACCGTCCCCTTTTTAATTTTTAAAAAATTTGAGATAAGGTTTGGCAAGTTGCTTAGAGCCTTGCTAAGTTCCTGAGACTGGCTTCAAACTTGAAGTCCTCCTGTCTCAGCCTCCAGAGTCTCTGGGATTATAGGCTTGGTCCATCAAGCCAGGTTAAATGTTTACTTTTTAAATTGGTGCAGAAGACGCCTTGTTGAGCCAGATGATCTTTTCCTACAAGCCACAGCCTGGCTTTAGCACCATGCCATTCCCCTGAAGAAGAGCAGTCTAGGCTCCAGCATGCCTAGAAAAATGCCCTATGGCTTGGGAAATGGGATTAGGTACATGGACTGTCATTCTGGGGCTCCTACCAGAACCTGAGTGAAGAGAATCCCAAGGCAGAGGCCACACTCATTTCCCATCACCTTTCACATTGTGGACTATAGAAATACAATCTTGGCTGTGAGTTAAGGAAGGAAGGAGGGAAAAGACTGGTTTGTCAAGACTGGTTCAATCAGTGAATCTGGGGAGCAAGACATCACTAATTTGAATTAACTGCCTAGGAAATTTCACTAACCCTAATGTATGGCTTTGTGTCAGGATCAGGGATAAACATTAAATAAATGCCTTCCTCATTAACTAATTCAGGGAAACAGTATAGCTGGCAGATCCATATTTTATAGTATTTGATAGCAGTGATTTCTGATTAAGTGGCTTTGTTGAAAATCCTTATCACAATCATCCAGGAGCTGCTATGTAGGGTCAAGTGCTGCCCAGACCAATTGCTGGTTTTAACAATTAGGTAAAAAATACCACTGCTTGGGCCCCAATAGAGCCAAGCATAAAGGAGACAACTAACACCCAGGAAAGTAGCATCATGTACTGAAAATCATTCTAAAATAGGTTGGAGATAGGACTTCTTGGTTATAACCTCAATCTGCTCTTAGCTTGCTATATCTCTTAATGCATCGTAGTTTTCTTGTTTATTCATCCATAAAATGGGTGCCCAAGCTATGGGCCTCTCTTCTTTTCTATGGAGAAAAACAAATGAGGATCTTGTGCATAGACTGATCTTCTTCATTTGCTACTACTCATTCTCTAATGAACCAAGAAGAACTCAGGAGGTCAAGCTGCTAACTAAGTGAGAAATAGACATAGCAGTGGTAGTATAAAGGAGGAGGTAGTGAAGGTATGGTAGAGAATGTAGGGACTGTGACAAATTGAATAGCACATGACTTGCTGAAAGGAGGCATTCATCACACAACTCCATTTGTTATATTGTGGGCATGTAGGCCCACAGTGTTTTATATTTGAAGAGAAATTGGGAGTCCATAGTTTTATGTGAAATCTTCTGGTTTTTAAATGTTGACCACTAGTCACAACTTTAAGAAGACCAAAACCCTGTCTCAAATTTAAAAATAGCTGGGGGAGGGGGTTGGGGCTATAGCTCAGTGGCAGAGCACTTGCCTTGCATGTGTGAGGCACTAGATTTGATCCTTAGCACCACATAAAAATAAACAAAATAAAGGCATTCTGTCTATCCACAAATACAAAAAAAATTTAAAAAAATATTTGGGGGGCTGAGTGCGGTGGTACATGCCTGTAATTTCAGCAGCTCAGGAGGCTAAGGCAGAGAGATTGCAGGTTCAAAGCCAGTCTCAGCAATTTCCCCTGGGGTCAATCCCCAGTACCCCCCCAAAAAGAAAAAAGTTTTTTTTTAAATGGTTGTGATTCAATATTTAAGTTCAGATAAGTATTTACTTATTCCAGTAACAACAATGACTTGAACCTATTTCTTTCAGTGACCTTTTACTGAGTACATACCTGGAGTAGCATCTTTTTTCTTTTAAATATATATATATATATTATATATATATATATGTTGTAGTTGGACACAATACCTCTATTTTGTTTATTTTTATGTGGTGCTAAGGATTGAACCCAGGGCCCCACAGAATTAGAGTGCTCACGTGCGAGGTGAGCGCTCTAATTCTGAGCCACAACACCAGCCCTGGAGTAGCATCTTAAAGTTTTAGAATTTCTCAACCTATTTAAATTCATGTCCCCTTTTTGGTTAAGGTTTTAAAATCTTATACTTAAATTTCAACTTCTAGCCCTTTTAATTTTACTTTATGGTACCGGGGCTGAGCCACATCCCAGCCCTTTTCTTTTGAGACAGGGTCTCACTAAGTTTCTTAGGGCCTTACTAAGTTACTGAGGCTGACTTTGGACTTGCAATTCTTCTGCCTCAGCCTCCTGAGCCACTGGGATTAGCGGCATGAACCACAGTACATGGCCCTTTTAATTTTTTTATTTTGAGATGGGCTCAACACTAAATTGCCAAGTTACCTTGAGCTTGCAAGCCTTCCAAATCTCTGGGATCTCTGTTCTACCATGGCTGGCTAATATTTTTTTTTTAAGAGAGAGAGAAGAGAAGGGGGGAGAGAGAGAGAGAGAGAGAGAGAGAGAGAGAGAGAGAGAGAGAGAGAGAGAAATTTTTCGGTGGACACAACATCTTTATTTTTTATTTTATGTGGTGCTGAGGATCGAACCCAGCACCCCACACATGCCAGGCGAGCGTGTTACCGCTGAGCCACATCCCCAGCCCTGGCTAATATTTTTTTGAAATTTGAAACTTTTTTTCATCTTGCACATATAAAATTACCAAATATGCTTTTTATATTCTTCCTCCCTCCCTTCTTGCCTCTCCTTTTTTTTTCTTTTTCTTTCCCCTCCCTCCCACTTGAAATGATCCTCCTGTCCTCATTCCTGTGTGGCTAGGACTATAGGCACATACCACTGTATTAGGCTTAAATATGCTTTTTTAAACTATGTAGTCCCTTTAGAAATTCTGATATATCCCTAAAAGAAAGCTATCATTTCTTTTTCATCCCTTCCATTAAAGGATAGAATCCAGTATCTCTCTCACTTTTATTTTCTGGGAAACAAACCCAGGGCTTCATGCATGCTAGGCAAGCACTCTACCACTGAGCCACATCCCCAGCCTCAGTTCCACATTTTACTATTAAAGAAACTAAAGTCCAGAAAGTGAATTGTCCCAGGCCAGGCTGAGACTAGAATGAGGCAAGTGAAATAAATGTCAAGAAACTGAAAAACAAAAAACAAAAAATAGAAAGAAACTGATTAGTCAGGTGATGGTGGTACATATCTGTAATCCTGGTGGCTCAGGAGGCTGAGACAGGAGGATCACAGGTATGAAGCCAGCCTCAAGAATTAGCAAGACTGTATGCAACCTAGTGAGAACCTGTCTTAAAATAAAAAGGGATTAAGTCTTATAAAGGTCTTATAAATCAGAGTATATAGCCAGGCATGGTGGCCCATACCTGTAATCCCAGCAACTCAGGAGGCTGAGGCAAGAGGATCACAAGTTCAAGACCATCCTAAGCAATTTAAGGAGACCCTGTCTCAAAATAAAAAAAGAACTGTGGATGTAGCTCAGTGCTAAAGTGCAGTGCCCCTGGGTTCAATCCCTAGTCCCCCTCCCCCCCCAAAAAAAAACCCAACTAGAATTATGCTTATATAATGGCATGCTATGCAACAATGAAATTAGGCTATTTACTACTATCCTTGCCAATACAGGTGAATTTTACAAACAAAAGAATCCAATGCCTAGCACAATGGCACATATCTATAATCCCAGCTACTTAGAAGGCTAAGGCAGAAGGATCACAAGTTTGAGGCCAAAATGGCTAACTTAGACCCTGTCTTAAACTACAATTAAAAATATTTGGGGATATAGCTCAAAGATAGAACACTCCTGAGTTCAATCCCAGTGATGAAGAAAAGAAAGCATATTACTAAACAAAATGTACAAATGGATAATAAGAACATAAAAATATGCTCAATATCCTTAGTTATTAGGGAAATGCAAATAAAAAAACACAGTGAGATAACACTTCATACTCACAAGGATGGCCATAATTTTAAAAAGTGGAAAATAATGAGAGTTGTCAAGTAAGTATAGAAGCTAGGCTCTTCATATATTGCTAGTGGGAATGTAAAATGTTTATGACTACTGGCAGATCCCCAGAAAGTTAAACAGAAAATTACTGTATGACCCAGCAGCTCTACTCCTAGGTAGATATCCAAACAAATTGAAAACAGGTGTTCAAACAAATGCTTGTATATGAATGATACCAGTTACATATAACCAAAGAAGCAGTCACAATAAACAAAGGATGGAAACAAATGCCCATCAATTAATGAATGGACAAAAAAAATGTGGCATACCCATGCAATGAAATAGTCATCTATAAAAATGAATGAAGCATTGACACAAACTATGGATGGACCTCAGAAACAATATGCTAAACCCGTGGTGCGAGCTGTTACCCCAGTGGCTTGGGAGGCTGAGACAGGAAGATCATGAGTTCAAAGCCACCTCAGCAATTTAGTCAGGCCCTAAACAACTCAGTGAGACCCTGTCTCTAAATAAAATACAAAATAGAGTTAAGGATGTGACTTAGTGGTCCAGTGAATGCCTCTAAATTCAATCCCTGGACCCCCCCTCCAAAAAAAAAAAAAAACTAATATGCTAGGTGAGAAAAGCCAGATATTAAAGACCAATTATGTTAGCCAGGCACTGATGTGCACACCTATAACCCCAGCATTTGGAAGGCTGAGGAGGAAGGATCATAATTTTGAGACCAACTTTTAGCAATTTAGTAAGACTCTGTCTCAAAAGGGCTGGGGATACAGCTCAGTGGTAAAGCACCCTGGGTTCAATACCCAGTACCAAAAATAAAGATAAAGCCAGACACAGTGGCTCACACCTGTAATTGGAGGATGAGGCAGGAGGATCATGAGTTCAAAGCCAGCCTCAGCAAAAGCAAGGTGCTAAATAACTCAGTAAGACTCTCTCTAGATAAAATACAGAAAAGGGCTGGGGATGTGGCTCAGTGGTTGAGTGCCCCTGAGTTCAATCCCTGATACCACCCCCCCACAAAAAAATAAAAGATAAAAGATCAAGCAAAATTGAGTAATATTCTTTCAATGAAATATATAGGATAGGGCTGGAGTTGTGGCTCAGTGGTGGAGCACTTGCCTAGCATGTGTGAGGCCCTGGGATCAATCCTCAGCACCATATATAAATAAATAAAATAAATAAAAGATCCATTTACAGCTAAAAAATATTTTTGAAAAAAGAAATATATAGGATAGGTAAATCCATAGAGACAGAAAGGAAACTACTGGTTCCCAGAGGCTGCTGAAGAAAAGAGTGAATAATGAGTGCTTATTTAATGGGTATGTGTTTCCTTTTGGGATGAATGAAAATGTTTTGGAATTACAAGTGATAGTTCAACAACATTGTGAATATTCTAAATGCCACTTAGTTGTGTACTTTAAGAAACATAATTTTGTGTGAATTTTATCTCAATAAAAAGCTTTCCAATTAAAATTTTTTATTAAAAAAGATATTAAGGGGCTGGGGTTGTGGCTCAGAGGTAGAGTGAGTGCCTAGCATGTGTGAGGCACTGGGTTCGATCCTCAGCACCACATAAAGTAAAATAAAGACATTGTGTCCACCTATAACTAAAAAATAAATATAAAAAATGAAGATATTAACATTGTGTGAAGGAATGAGTTTGGAAGATGAAATCAGTGAGACCAGTAAGGAGGTCTGGCTAAAGAGACAGACATGAAAAAAAGTAAAAAAGAAATATCACCATACTTTTCCAAGACTCAAGAGTATGGGGAGCTTTTATGCATGAATCAGTAGATGAATGATGGGCAGGCGATAGCAAAACTGAACAGAACAGGCAGGGGCAAACCAAACCTAAATAAAAAAGTAGACAGATTCCACATATGTTGGGGAGTTAATGGGACTTTTTTTAATTGAATTTAGGATGTAAAGGAGGTTCTGTGGGACTTCTTTCTCTCCACATCATTCCTAAAGGCAATTTGTGCTACCCTAAGATTTTCTCAAGGTTTCATCAGGAATCTCCCCAATCCTACCTCACAACTGGCTTAATACTCCCAGACAGCTACTCTGATCATATGTGACCCTCACCTGATCTCTCCACAGGAGACTCCCTTCCCACAGAGAGCCGGTTCAGGAACAGTTGTATCCAGGCCAGGAGGAAGTGCCAGGCTGATCCCACTTGCAAGGCTGCCTACCACCACCTGGGTTCTTGCACCTCTAGTCTAAGCACCCCATTACCCTTAGAGGGGTCTTCTTTCCCTGCAGACTGCCTAGAGGCAGCAGAGAAACTCAGGAACAGCTCTCTGATGGGCTGTACATGCCACCGACGCATGAAGAATCAAGCTACCTGCCTGGACATCTATTGGACCATTCATCCTGCCCGCAGCATTGGTGAGACCTCCATCCTAGAGTGGACTAAGCTGAGGAGGATGGCTCTTGGAATTTCTTTTCTTCTTCTTTTTTTTTTTTTTTTAATATTGATGTGGGGTTGGGGTTGTGGCTCAGCAGTAGAGTGCTCACCTAGAACGTGCAAGGCCCTGGGTTCGATCCTCAACAGCATAAATAAATAAAGATAAATAAATGGTTACAACTAAAAAATAATATATATATATATATATATATATATATATATATTTGATGTATATACCTAAGCCTGAGCATTGCTTTTTTTTTTTTTTTTAATGTGGTGGTAAGGATTGAACCTAGGACCTTGTGCATGCAAGGCAAACATTCTACCAGCTGAGCTATATCCCCAGCCATCTGTTTTGTTTACTACTGGGTATTGAGCCCAGAGGCACTCTACTACTGAGCGATATCCCCAGCCCTTTTTACTTTGAAACAGTCTTACTAAATTGCCCAGGCTGAGGCAGGACCTGCCTCAGCTTCCTGGGATTACAGGTGTGCCCCACTTTGGGAGTTGTTTTTCAGTTCTTCAGGATATGGGCCACATGGTAGATTCTGATGGGGATGACAATGAACCTCTGCATTTGGCACCAGTAAGAGATGGAGGGAAAAATTGGCAGTGTCCCTTTGGGCCCTCAAAACACTGCCCTCACTTTTTCCCCTTTTTTTTACCTGTGGTTTCCTCTTGACGGAGTTCTAAACCAGGCACAGGCTCAACCTGGGGAGTTCCTAGACCAGAAAGATACAGAGAGGAGTAGAGAAAAGCAGTTTTAACTCCAAATATCATATAATCCACAAGTTCAGAGACTGAATGGTATCATCTCAGGTCAGCCTTTAGCAGAAATGATATGATTAACAGAACTGGAGATGGATGATAAAAGTCACAAAAAAAGCCAAAGAGAAGCACTACCTTTGACTCCTTCTATAGGCCATTTTCTATATTAATCAGCTTTTATTGGACTATCTTGCAAAACAAAGATTTAGTTCTTGCTCATGTTCTGAGCTGACTGTTTTCATGTGTCTTTGTCATTCTGGGATCCAGGCTAAAGGCACAGCCTTTTGTGGGATGTTCCCTTCTCATGGTGAAGGAAATGAGCATTGGTAAACCATACAATGCTTTTAAAAGCCTCTGTTCAAGCCAGGCATGGTGGCACACACCTATGATACCAGCTACTTAGGAGGCTAAGGCATGAGGATCACAAGTTTGAGCTTTGCAACTTAGTGATCACCTGTCTCAAATATAAAAAGGGCTGGGATTGTAGCCCAATGGTAGAGCACTCTGTGTTCAGTCCCCAGTACCAAAACAACAACAACAGAACCCTGTTCAAATGTTACAAATTCCAAAGAGAAAATAATCTGAACAAGCCTCACATCACTAGATTATGGAAGTATACTCCTCCCATAGGGAGACATCAAAAATAACATGGCAAAACTGGACCTGGTGGCACATACCTATAATCCCAGCAACTCAGGAGACCAAGGCAGGAAGATTGCAAGTTTGAACCAGTCTTAGCAACTTAGTGAGACCCTGTCTCAAAAAGGCCTGGAGATATAGCTCAATGGTAAAGCATTCCTGGGGTTCAATTCCCAGTAGCAAAAAAATTAAAAAGTAATAAATAAATCACATGACAATAAGTGAAGACATTTAATCTTATAGGGAAGGCAAARAATAATTGGAAACAATAATACAATTTACCACAGTTTACAGCTTGATAAAAATTTAATTTCCCCTCCTTCCACAAGTAATATATATCCACCTAATTTTCCAAGGAAGATGTCCTAAAAATTCTATCAGAACATGACATCAAGCTCCAAGTCTAGGATCTTAGGATCTTATGATAGTTTCTATATTGGTTTCTGTTTATTTGGTTGTAGTTTGAGATAGGRTCTCCCTAAGTTGCTGAGACTGGCTTCAAACTTATGATCCTTCTGCCTCAGCCTCTAGAGTTGTTGGGATTACAGGCATGTGCCACCATGCCTAACCCTAGTTTATATTTTTTTAATATTTATTTTTTAGTTGGAGGTGGACACAATATCTTTATTTCATTTTTATGTGGTGCTGAGGATTGAACCCAGTGCCTCATGCATGCTAGGCGAGCACTCTACCACTGAGCCACAACTCCAGACCCCCTAGTTTATCTTTATGAGCTAAAAAGGTCATTTGCCTCCCATACATACTCAGTGTACAATAATAGAACAGGCTCAGGATAACTACAACAAACACTTTCAGAATGAGAAGGAATGGGAGGCACACGGCAGACATTGATTCGAAGAATTCTAAAATTTTGCTAGGCAGATTTTGCAAGGATCCTCTTCTCTGGGAATCAAACCCAGGGTCTCACACATGCCAGGCAAGTAATCATCCACTGACCACATTCCCAACCCAGGCTTATTCTATAAGAAGACCCCCCAACACCCTTTTTTTTTTTCCTCTGTGGGAGTAGCTGCCCTATCCATTGTTCTTCAAGGTTCTTGGCTCAACCCTCTGGGAGATCCTGGCTTTTCCATTATTCTCTTTACCACATTTGAAAAGGGCATTGGAGACTACAACCTCTGGGACTGGAGAAGCATTCTTATCCTATTTCCTGTCTGAGGAATGTTGGGGCATTTTAAGTCTCAAATAGTTASAGTCTCTTTTAATCCAGGCTGTTAGCTGTTAGAAGTACAAGTCTCTCAAAAAGTAATTGCTTTTTATATCTTTGATTCCTTCATCTCATGTGCCAGTAGCCTTTCCCACAAGACATGCACCTCTTTCTAAACCTAATTAGAAGTTCCCTGTCCCTATCAGACCTCTATAGGAGAGTCACTACTTTAGTTTTCTTTCCCTGAGTACATTTGTCCAACTGGCAGATCTATTTGGTACCATCTTAATCAATTGAGAAATCTTCATAAACTCCAGGATAGCCACATACTTAATTTGGTCTTTCCCCCAAGCCTGATTGTTATCAACTTTATCACTCAAAGCATTTTTAATTTTATCTTTTACCATTTGAATATGAGATATAGTTGCTGCATCTCTTAATCCTTCAAGTCTTRGAATTTCTGGATTCTTTTGTCCATATCCTCCCTACTTGCAAACCAGCCAATTCTTTTATTTTTTATTTTGTCAAGACACTTTTTCACTACAACCAGGCTGGTCTTGAACTCCTGGACTCAAGGAATCCTCCTGCCTCAGCCTCTCTAGTAGCTGGGACTGCAGACAGGCACCACCATGCCTATCTGCTAAACTGGCCAATTCTTTTCTGAGCTTCTGTTTTTCTCTTCATACCTTGCCAAATGCAGCCAGTAACAATCAAGACATACAAGTAACCTTCTGCTTCTCAGCTTCTTCCCCTTAAAACACAAGTTCGTTCAGCATAAACTCATCTTCCTTCCAAATTATTGGGGGAAATAATTTACCAAATGCTTTGTTACTGCATAATGAAGACTACTATTTTTCCAGCCCCCAGAAAGCTTCTTCTCTATCCACTGCCCAGTCCCAAAGAATTGCTACATATTKGGATTTTTGTTCCTAGAGCAATCTACCTCTAGGTAAAAATTGCATTTTTTTCCCCTTACCCCAATTGTTTTTGTTTTGTTTTGTTTTTGTGGTACTGGGAATCAAACTCAGGGCCTCAAGGGTACTAAGCAGCATTCRACCACTGAGCAACACCTCCTAACGCCCAAATTGCATTGCTTTTGTGTGATGGGGGTCCTGGGGATTGAACCCCAGGGGCACTTTACTGCTGAGCTACACCCCAGCTCTTATTTTTTATTTTGAGCGGTTTCTCACTCAGTCTTTCTGAGTTAGTGAGGCTAAACTCAAATTTGYAATCCTCTTCACTCAGTCTCCCAAATTGTTGGGATTACAAGTGTGTGTSTCACTATACCCAGCCTCCAGTTGCTTTTTTGWTTTTGGTACTAGGGATTGAATCCAGGGACACTTTACCACTAAGCTACATCTCYAATCTTTTTTACTTTTTATTTTTGACTGAATTTCGCTAAATTGCTGAGATTGGCCCAGAACTTGCAATCCTCCTGCCTTAGCCTCCCAAATTGCTGGGATTATAGGTGTATGCTGCCACACCCTGCTCCTTGATTGCATTTCTTTTTTTAATATTTATTATTTTTTATTTGTAGTTGGACACATTATCTTTATTTCATTCTTATGTGGTGCTGAGGATCAACCCTAGGGCCTCACACATGCTAGGGGAGCGCTCTACCGCTGAGCCCCAGCCCCAGCCCCTCCTTGACTGCATTTCTAATAAGAATTTGCTAGGTTAAACTTTAGCTACAACCAGCCCACCCCATCCCCATCTCTTTTTTAACAATAAACATTTATTTCTTGCACATTTTATGTGCTGCAGACTTCCAAGCATTGGATTTGTCTCTGTTCTATCGATTGTCTTCATTTAAAGTAAGAGAGGAAAAAGTAATAACGATATAATGGTTCTTTTTTTTTTTTTTTTTGGTATTGGGGACTGAACCACTGAGCCACATACCCCACCTTTTCAGTTTTTATTTTGGACTGGGCCTCACTAAGTTGCTTAAGCCTTTATGAAATTGCTGAGACTGGCCTTGAATTTGCAATCATGCCTCAGCTTCTCAAGYTGCTGRGATTATAGGCATGTGCTACCATACCTGGCAATGTGATGGTTCTTAAAGCTTCAGCTCAACCTGGGCACAGTGGTRCATGCCTACTTGGGAGGATGAGGCAGGAGGATTCCAAGATCAAAGCAGCAACTTAGATCCTAAGCAGCTTAGTGAGACCCTTTCTCAAAATAAATTAGAAAAAGGACTGGAGATGTGGCTCAGTGGGTAAGGGTTCCTGGGTTTAACCCCAATAGCAAAAAAAAAAAAGCTCTGCTTAGATGTGATTTACATCACTTCAATTTATAGTCCACCGCCAGAGCAAATCACGGGGCCAAGCCTGACTGACATTGAAGTACGCTCCACAAGGGCTGTGAAAAGTCACATGGCAACAGATAGGGAGGTATAATCCTCCCACAGTGTGGGGGACAAATAATTGAATGATAAAACAATTTTACCACACCACTTGTTCTCTGTTTCCTACTCCTAATTTCTTCTCTTTTTTAACTTCCCCAGAGACTTCTTCCAGGATTCTCTTGTTTCTCTGTTTTCTTTCCCCTTTGGAGCTCTCAGGTCTTCTGATATATCTAGCCCATTCTCTCTTGTTTGCCTGATAATATCCATATACCTGCCCACCTGAAGATGCATTTACAAAGGCTTCTTGGATGACATTCCTGCAAGCTTATCCTTCTCATCTCTCTCTTCCAACAAGATTTATTAACCAATATTTATTGAGCCCCTCCCAAGCATAGGGGCAATACACTGATTTGATAAGACTTAGTGAGTCCCCTTAAGGAGTCTGCAGTCCCTTGTGGGTGTCTGAGAAAGATGCATATACTTTGAGATCATTTTGTCTCTCTCTCTCTCTTTTTTTTTTTTTTTCTCAGTTAGTGCCTGGCCTCACTTCCGTTTCTCCAGAATGCTATACATCTCCATAGTCAAGCATTCAGGCCTGTAGCAGAGTACCCCATTGTCCCTTCTATAATAGCAAGGGAAAACAAGGCAGAGTTCCCTTGCTTGATTCCAAACAAACAATATGTCTGACAGCTAGGATCCAGAAACTCTGAAATTGTTGTTGTTGGAGTATCCAGTTGGAATCCAGGTCCTTKGTGTCCCAAACAGAGAATTGAGGAAGACATACAGAAGCAGCTGGGCATGCTGGCACAAGCCTCTAATCCCATTGGCTCTGGAGGCTGAGGCAGGATGATAGCATGTTCAAAGCCAGCCTCAGCAATTTAGCAAGGCCCTAAGCAATTCAGTGAGACCCTGCTTCTAAATAAAATACAAAAACGTGCTGGGGATGTGGCTCAGTGGTTGAGTGACTCTGGGTCTCTGGTACCAAAAAAAGAAAAAAGAAAGAAAGACAGATACAGAAATAGCAGGAAAATACCAGATTTATTACAGGTGAAGATAGCACTCCTTAAGGTAGAGAAGAGTGGGCTGACCGAGAGAGAGGCTCAGGTCCCAATGTCTGGAAATCAGCTGCTGGGCTGTAAGTCATTCTCTTTCCTATACAGACTAAATTGAAGACCTTACCCTGTTTGCTCCTATTGGTTACCTTATGATACCTGATTAGAATATTCTCTAATCACCCCCCACAGCATTGGTTACTTTAGAAACCTAATTAGAATACTGCCTACTTTACCGCCATTGGTCCTTTTAAAATACTGAACCTGTGGCAGGAGTTGTCATGGTGATAAGTCCTCAGTGTCAGGAGTTGTCATAGTAATGGGACTTATTGTAAACAGAAACATGACTTATCTCCCTGTCTTGTCCAGTGGCATCTTTTTTTTTAAAATATTTTTTTTAGTTGTAGATGGGCACAACACCTTTATTTTGTCTATTTAGTTTGTGTGGTGCTGGGGATCAAACCCAGTGCTTCATGCATGCTAGACAAGCTCTCTACCACTGAGCCACAACCCCATCCCCAAGTGGCATCTTTCTTATACCCTGTGTCCACCATCTTGATGTCCCTGAACTCCTACTTACCAGAATCAGATAGTTCAGAGTTCATATCTCGGCAAGTAACAATTAAACCTCTCTCCTCCTCAATTTCTTTTTGCCTACCCAAAGGCTTCTATTCTTATCAGTTTATTTGTTGGGCCAAATCCATATCTTTTTTTTTTTTTTTTTTGGTACCTGGAATTGAACTCAGGAGCACTCGACCACTGAGCCATACCCCAGCCTTATTTTATATTTTATTTAGAGACAGGGACTCATGGAATTGCTTTAGTGCCTCACCATTGCTGAGGCTGGCTTTGAACTCGCCATTCTCCTGTCCCAGCCTCCCAAGCCGCTGGGATTACAGGCGTGCCCCACCATGTCCAGCACAACCCATATCTTTATGGCTCTGCATTTTTCTTATCTTTGCATACCTTGCAGCTAGTTATAGGTTGTGCCTTTTCCTTTGCTGCACAGAGCTTGAGGTCTGACCCAGCAGCCTGAGCCCCTCCTGCTCCTACCCCTCCCAGGTCCTTAGCATTCTGGTGCTCCCTACCTTGTTTTTAGGTGATTATGAACTGGATGTCTCCCCCTATGAAGACCCAGTGACTAGAAAACCCTGGAAAATGAATCTCAGCAAGCTGGAYATACTCAAACCAGGTGTGGAAGGCAAGCCTAGGATGGGAAACTGGGAAGTGGGGGGCTGAGCTGGGCCAAGGGAAGGGTGGCTGGGGGAAGCACAAACTTAGGGGCTTACAGAGTAAGTTTCTAGCCTGCCAGGTGACTGAATAAACACTGTGTCAGCGTAGAAGTCTGAGTTGTATTGCATGGTCTGCTTTCACRGGAGTCATAAAAAAAAAAAATAACAATTATTAGGCAGGCATTCAGAGAAAACCCATTAGGTCCCCCTGGTCCCTACAAAGAGGATGGTGGGAGTGGCAGTAGTTACAGAAAGAAAAGTACAGAAATGGAATATTTAGACACAGCAAGGAAAGTAGCCTTTTTGTCCATAAAGACTAGAAAATTGTTTTCAACCATTCTAATGGGATGGGCGAGGTGTTGGGCAGAGAAAATAATGAGGTTTTGTCTCCCCACAGGGGTGACTTAGGGTGGAGAACCATCAGCCTGGCAAGGACTACAATGCATGTTTTTTCAGGAGTGTAAGGTCGAGAGTTAATTGAAAAAGAACACACATATATGCACTATTTTTTGAGGAGAAGAAAGCTTTGTTGTATGGTCAATTCTGTAAAAATTAGAATTTTGAAGCGAGCTAGTTTTATGTATTAGAATTTCAAGGGAAAACTAGAGATTTATACATGGCAAACTCTTAGTTACAAGGAATCAGTGAATGACCTGTTTAAGTGATTTAGTTGTTCTGGGCTGAAATATTCTTTTTATAGAAAAATCATCAGGAAGCTAGTGATGGAGCTTAGCAGTAAGGTACATGCTTAGCATGCATGAAGCCCTAGGTTCCCTGGATTTGATTCCCAGCAACCTATACTGAGTCCTGAAAAAAAAAAGGAAAAAGGAGGAAATATCGCCATACTTTTCCAAGACTTGGAAAAGAACTTTTATGCATGAATCATTAGATGAATGAAGGGTAGGTAATAGTAAAACTGAATAAAAAGGTACAAACCAAACCTAAATAGAATTTAGTTGCATTTGTTTCCAGCAGTTCAAAAACTGCTATGGAATGTTGCAAGACCTCTAGGTTATGATTTTCACCGTCGGATCATACTGCACAGCATTGAAGGAAGTATTTTGGTTATTTGAACTTTGTGGATACTTGGTTCTAGATAAGTGGTTATTAGATATATAGAGATGATGATGATGATGGTGATAGAGGATGATGTTTACCTAGTCAAGATAAGGAACAGAGTAGAAAAGGCTTCACAGTACCAGATACAGTTTGTGGGGAGAGAGAAAACCTTGAATTAGCAGTAGCTTTATTCCGGRCTTATTCAATTCCTCCCTTTCCTCCTATCCCCATTTCTTCCTTGTTAAATTGGGTTTGCTGGGGTTCCTTAGGGATACTGAACTACAGGTGATGCAGAAAGGATGTGGTCTAGTGATTTAGTGCCCTTCTTCCCTACAGACTCCGATCTCTGCCTCAAATTTGCTATGCTGTGTACTCTTAATGAGAAGTGTGACCGACTACGCAAGGGTTACGGGGAGGCCTGTTCAGGACACCGCTGCCAGCGCCAAGTCTGCCTTGGACAGCTGCGCTCCTTCTTTGAGAGGGCCTCTGAGCCTCTTGCGCAGGGCCTGCTGCTGTGTCCCTGCTTGCCCACTGACCGCAGCTGTGGGGACCGTAGGCGCAACACTATTGCTCCCAGCTGTGCACTGCCAACTGAGGCCCCCAACTGTCTGGATTTGCAGCGCTTCTGTTTCACGGATCCACTGTGCAGGTAGGTGCAGGGTCTGAGCTGCAGGATGGGCATGGGTGTGACATGTTCCACTCCTTCTGGCCACCTTCCTGCACCGGTTGGGTCTAACTGCCCTCAGGGAACAGTGGACCCACAAGGTGCTTCGCCTTGGATATTTTGTGAAACTCATATTAAAATGATTATAGCTTTTGACCTGGTGTGATGGTCACACCTGTAGTCCCAGCTCTCAGAAGCTGAAGAGGGAAGACTCGTTGCGTCTGAGTTCTAGACCAACCTGGGAAACATAACAAAACCTCCTTTATGTAATAACTTCAGAAAACATAAACATGTATAAAAAATACCACTTATGGGCACAGTGGCACAGGCCTATATAAAAAATACCACTCAAAATTCCCTCACCTAAAGATAATCTACCATAATTTGGTAAGCATTTGCTTCCAGTTATTTTTCTGGAAAAATGAAATGAAGACCCGGTGACTAGAAAATCCTGGAAAATGAATCTCAGCAAGCTGGACATGCTCAAACCAGATGTGAAGGGCAAGCCATCACTTTTAGTTCTCCACAAAAACTGGAATAATAGGGGCTGGGGATGTGGCTCAAGCGGTAGCACGCTTGCCTGGCATGCGTGCGGCCCAGGTTCGATCCTCAGCACCACATACCAACAAAGATGTTGTGTCCGCCGAGAACTAAAAAAAAAAAAAAAAATAAATATTAAAATTCTCTCTCTCTCTCTCTCTCTTTAAAAAAAACTGGAATAATAATACAGACCTCTAGTCATGATTATATTACTTATGTAGAGTACTTAGCCTACTGGGGCAGAGTTAAGTCCTCAATAAATGGTAATGCTAATTTTGTCATTTATTGTCCTTTAAGAACTCCATGTATTTATGTAGGGAGGTTTGCATTTCATTGCTGGGGTTTGAACCCAGAGCCTCACAAATGCTAGGCACTGAAAATCTGAAATTTCCTGTGTCTTCTCAGTACAAAACAACAAATTGAACTTATCATCTGTTCAAGTAACATTTTTTTACAATAAATGTCATACCAACCATGGTATACAACTTAGATCTATTGCTTACTTTTTTGTGACAGGTGATGCAGTAAGGAAAGTAGCTTTACCTCTTTGATTACTACTTTCCTTATCTGCAAAGTCAGGGCTCTCTATAATCAGAATATTAGCATTTACTAAGTACTTCCTATGAGCCAGATATTGATTTAAGTACTTAACATGTATTAACTCATATAAGCCTCATAAGAACTCTATAAGATAGATGCTCTTGTTTTAATCATCCTCAGTTTACAAATGAAAAAAAAAACATAGCAAAGAATGGTTAAATAACCATTTATAGGTACACAGGGAACACAGCTAGTAGGTTAGGTTTGTTAAGTTTGGGGTAAACAGGTCTGACTTAGAGTCTATGCTTTTAACTATTCTGCTGTACTGCCTATTACTACACTAGTAGCTAATACTATTATATAACAGGTACTAGGTTAGATGGCTAAGATATTGTCTCCATCTTCAAGGAGTTCATAGTAGAGTGGAGGTGACAGAGAAGTAAACCATTGACCCAACCCAGAAATGTATTGAAAACTGCAGAAAAACATATAGAAAGAAAAACACCCACAATTACATCACCCAAACAGAACTAGCCTTACGTATTGTGGAATGAATGTTAATAATAATATCCGGCTAGGTACTGTGGTGCACACCTGTAGTCCCAGCTACTTGGGAAATTGAGACAGAAGGATCAAAAGTTCCAGACCAACCTGCGCAACATATCAAGACCCTGTCTCAATATAAAAAATTTAAAAATTTTAGTATACTTCAGTGCCTAAAATGTGCGAGTCCCTGGGTTCTATCCCCAGAACCACAAATGATAGTAATAATAATAACATCTAATATTTATTTATTTATTTGGCAGTACTAGGGATTGAACCCAGGGCTGCTCTGCCACTGAGCTACATCCTCAGCCCTTTTTATTTTTTATTTAGAGGCAGGGTATTGCTAAATTGCCAAGGTTGGCCTTGAATTTGTAATCCTCCTGCCTCAGCCTCCTGAGACACTGGGATTATGGGCACATGCCACCACACCCAGCTCATATCTAACATTTATTAAACAATATGTGCCAGGCACTATGCTGGATGTGATACGTGCATTCTCTTATTTCATCTATGAAAATCTGCCAGGTTGTGCTTTTATCCTATTTTACAGTCTAGGAAACTGGGGTGAAAGAAGCTGTCTAAGATCTCATACTTAGAGATTATGAAGCCTAAATTCGGAGTGATGTGCTGAAGGCCCTGGGTTAAAAGTGACAGGGGCATGCTTCACTGAGGATAAGTTGGGGTGGACCAAGCACTGAAAGCAGAGGAGGAATTGGGGTGACAATGAGCTTGCCAGGCTAAAGAGCAGCAAGGATAAAGGCTGCAGGCCAGATCTTCATTGGGGACTCTTGAAATTTCCCTTCTTGAGCCAGGCATGGTAGCTTATGTCTCTAATCCCAGCTACTTTGGAAGCTGAGGCTGGAGGATCACAAGTCTTCAAAATTGTGATTTTTAGACCCTTCTCAAAATTAAGATAAATAAATAAAAAGGACTAGGGGTATAGCCCAGTGGTACAGTACCCCCTTCAGAACTGCCAAAAAAAAAAATTTTTTTTTCCTTTCTTCCAGATCACGCCTGGTAGATTTCCAGACCCACTGCCATCCTATGGACATCCTGGGGACTTGTGCAACAGAACAGTCCAGATGTCTGCGAGCATACCTGGGGCTGATTGGTGAGGCTGGGGCATATGTAGAGAACCCACAGGATGGGCTCACCCTAAAGGTGAGAATACTCTGAAGACCCAGATGGTATGGTCCTAAGATGGGTGGGAGAGGGTTGGAGCTAAAGGAGGGTTAGCCTGGGCCCTGACAACTGCTTCCCCTTTTCGTCCCACAGGAACTGCCATGACCCCCAACTTCATCAGCAACATCAACACTAGTGTTGCCCTAAGCTGCACCTGCCGAGGCAGTGGCAACCTGCAGGAGGAGTGTGAAGGGCTGGAGAGGTCCTTCTCCCACAACCCCTGCCTCAGTGAGTATACTCTTGCTCCCAGCCCCTGGGTTGGATTAGCTAAAGCCGAGGTGATAGGATGGGGTCAACTCTGGCCCAGATTGGTTTCATCCATCTCCTCAGAGCAGCCCAATTCTGTTTTAATTTCCATACTCCCAGCCCCAGCCTTTCTTCCTTCTGCCCCTCTCTGAGTAACCCCCAACACTGCCTGTTCAACCTGTCTGGGCTCCTGAGACATCTCCAGCTTGAGGAACAAGCAAGCAGAAGGAGATATTCCTACCCATCTGTTCCCCTAGATCCCAGGGTCCCCATGGCATTCCCTTTCCTGCCTTGGGAGTCCAGGAATCTGCTTCCACCATGTCTTTCCAATCTTCCTTCTTTCTTCTGCTCAGTGGAGGCCATTGCAGCTAAGATGCGTTATCACAGCCAGCTTTTCTCCCAGGACTGGGAAGAGGCCACCTTTTCTGTGATGGAGCAAAAGGTAGGGCCTCCTCTGCTGTACCTCTTAAACGTTTACTGACCATCTGGGGAAAACTCAAACTAAGCAAACAAAGGGATGGGGGCACTATTTTATAGACCTCTAATGGACACCTCAGGGGCAGRGGGCAGTCTTAACTGAGGCTGAGGTAGTGAAGAGAGGTAAAGATAGCTCCCTAAAAGAACTCTATTCCATTTCTTTCACAGAAAAACTCTGCTCTGAGGCCACAGCCCTGGATGCCCTTTATTTTTTCCTGTACATTTACCTTGATTCTACTTTGGAGCCTCTAGTAGCTGAATTTTACCCAGAAGCCTTCTTCCTCACTACCACACCCAGCCTGATTGCAACCTATGAAGGGTGAAAAAAGAACAGCATCCAGAGGAGGTGCAGTGTACAACATGGCAGCCCCAACCCTACCTGGAACTTGCAGTTGGCTCCAGATGAGGCCATAGTAGATGCTACGGGCTATGACCTCCAGATCCTAACTAGCTAACCTCATTCCTCCACCACTTTTATCCTCATTTCTGACTCAGGCTGCCCTCCTTAGGATTTAATGGCTATCATTTAGCCATGTCTTCTGGTGGTGACCAGCTCTACTAGGCTCTCTCCTTCCTTTCTCCCATCTACCCATAATCATCCAGAGTCTAACAAATCAGTCATTCCTTATTGCATTCTTCAGGTAGGCAGGGCTGAAAGTTCTGAGGCAGCCTAGAAAGACATTTTTCTTGTGAAGAAGGCTGGAGCAATACTCCTGACCCCTTGTTCCATCCTTTGAATGGAGGATGGAAACCTTCTGCCTGCCCTGCTCTGCCCTGGGATCCTGGAGAACATTTGGAAATCAGGAGCTGAAGCCTTTGGTCTTTGCTTTATTCCTACTGCTGTTCTAAAGCCCCCTGACCTCTTGGATCATGATTAAACATTTTGACCCAAGACTTATGCTCTTTTCCCATTTTATCAAATTTTGAATTTTTCCATAATTTGGGATATTATAGATACAAGGATACAGGCCAGATGGTGAAGAGACACAACTGCTATGTGACTTCAGGCAAGGCTCTCAGCCCCTGTGTTCTTTTTAAATATTTATTTATTTATTTTTTARCTTTTGGCAGACACAACATCTTTGTTTGTATGTGGTGCTGAGGATCGAACCCAGGCYGCACACATGCCAGGCAAGCGCACTACCACTTGAGCCACATCCCAAGCCCCTCAGTCCCTGTGTTCTTGACATGAATTGGAATGAAAAATAGCTTAGAGGGGGCTATAGACCTGTATCCATCCCAATTTTAGCCATTTCTGGGATTCTATATGTGATTGCCACAGCACCTGAGATGGGGGCCCTCCAGATTATACTGGGGGCCAGAGAAAAGCAGAGACTGGCCTGTGATTTCAGGAAATTTGTAATTCTATTGGAGTAAGGAAACACCCACCCATGCAGTTAGAAGAGTTTATTTGTAGTACTATGGGTCTGGGTGCAGTGACACATGTTTGTAATCCCAGCTACTTGGGAGGCTGAGCATGAAGGATTATGAGTTCAATGTAGTAAGACCCTATCTCAAGACTTTTTACCAGGGGGATTTAAACACTGAGTCACATTCCCATCCCTTTTTAAATTTTTGTTTTTATTTTGAGACAGGGTCTCACTAAGTCTCAGCTTTCAAAATATTTTTTTTAAAAAAAAAAGGAAAGAAGCTGAGCATGGTGGCACATGCTTGTAATTCCAGTGACTCAGGAGGCTAAGACAGTAAGATTTCAGGGCTGGGGTTGTGGCTCAGTGGTAGAGTGCTCCCCTAGAATGTGCGAGGCCCTGGGTTTGATCCTCATAAATGTAAAATAAAGATATTGTGTCCAGGGGCTGGGGATGTGGCTCAAGCGGTAGCGCGCTCGCCTGGCATGCGTGCGGCCCAGGTTCAATCCTCAGCATCACATACAAACAGAGATGTTGTGTCTGCCGAGAACTAAAAAAATAAATAAATATTAAAAAGTTCTCTCTCTCTCTCTCTCTCTAAAAAAAAAAAAAATATTGTGTCCACCTAAAACTGAAAAATAATTTAAAAAAAAAAAGAGTATGATTTCAAGTTTGAGGCCAACCTCAACAACTTAGATCATCAGCATCTCAGCAAGACACTGTCTCAAAACAAAAAATAAAAAGGGCTGAGGATGGAATGTGGCTCAGTGGGTTCAATCCCCAGCATCAAAAAACAAACTTATGGCTTATGATTCTGGTCCAAGGTTGAGGGGCCACATCTTGTGATGGCCTTCTCACTAGCAGAGTCCCAAGGTAGCACAGAATATCACAAGGCAAGAGAGACACGGAGCACACATGTATGTCTGTGTCTCTCTTTTGGGGACGTTCTCTCTCTCTCATAAAGTTACTAGTATTCAATCATGGGGACTCCACCTTGATGACTTTATCTAATCCTAATCACCTCCCAAAAGTTCTACCCTTTTAATATCTCACAATGGGATTACACTTCAATATGACTTTTTTTCCAGGACAAACCATGTTACTCTGCATTTTTCTCGAGCCAAGTTTTAAGGCAGTGAGGGAGGTAACTGGGAATGGGATATGTATAAGAGTTGCCAGAGTGATGGGTGGAATGGGCAAGCCTCTCCCTGTACATTCTTGTATCCCCATAGCCTGCCCAGCCCCAGGAAATGCTCAGCCAAGTTGTCTCCCTACAAACTCCAGTGGGGCACTGGGTCCACTTTTCTTCCTCCTTCCTCCCCTCCCAGGAAGATCTCTGAGAGTCAAGGCCTTTCTATTTGCTTGGTTCCATTAGCTTGGGGCTGGGGGTGTGAACAATACAGACATTCCTTGCTAAGTGCTTGAATTAGACTAATAGGTCATCTATGCTTTTCTCTGAAGAAGRTCCAGATTGCTGGTAAACAACCAGACCAGCCCAGGGCCCAGAGCCAAGACCGGGGTGGGGGCACAGTAGCTAGACTGAAGCTTTTAATGGTATCATGACTGGCTGAGATGGTTAATGCCATTAGACTAGCTTCTGGGTAGCAAGGTGGGAAGGGCTACTAGCAGTAATGGTAAATGGAGAGTTCTGAGTTATGGTCTAGGAGCCAACTGTTTTTTAAATAACTATCTACAAATCCACCCATTCAATCATTCATTCAACAAATCTTTCCACAACTACTTACCTGCCCCAGGCCTTGAGTATTTTTAGAAAACACAAGATCTGTCTCTGCCCATTCATTAGCTATCATTTAAATGAAGGAGCAACCAGAGACTCTGGTAATTAGACCTTAAATTCAAGTAGTAGCACTCTTCAGTTATCCTGGTTGATTTTTTAACACCTAGCTATTTGACTTCAGGAAACATGTTTCACCTCTCTAGGAATCTGTTTTCTCATCTACAATGGAGTCATAGAGGATTGTGGGTTTTGTTTTGCTTTGTTTCCTTGTGCAGGGGATTGAACTCAGGGGAGTTCTACCACTGAGCTACACCCCCAGCCCTTTTAAAAATTTTTTWAAAAATATTTACTTTTCAGTTATAAGTGCACACACTATCTTCATTTTATTTTTATGTGGTGCTGAGGATCGAACCCAGTACCTTACACATGCTAGGTAGGTGCTCTACCTCTGAGCCACAACCTTTTTAACCTTTAAAAAAWTTTTTTTTTAAAGAGAGAGTGGGGCGGGGGACAGAGAGAGAGAGAATTTTAACATTTTTATTTATTTTTTTCTTAGTTCTCGGCAGACACAACATCTTCGTTTGTATGTGGTGCTGAGGATCGAACCCGGGCCGCACGCATGCTAGGCGAGCGTGCTACCGCTTGAGTCACATCCCCAGCCCCCTTTTAAAATTTTTTAACCTTTTTAAAATTTTATTTTAAGAGAGGGTCTTACTAAGTTGCCCAGACTCTCCTCAAACTTGTGATACTCCTGCTTCAGCCTCCCGGGTTGTTGGGATCACAGGCATGTGCCACAGTGCCCAACTTGCTTTGTTTTTAATCAGTTCAGTATCTGCAATTTAATTCAACCAAATACTAACAGGCAACATCAAATCTTTTTTTTTTAAATCAATTTTAATAGTTTGGGTTGGCAACTTTTTTTTACTTCCTATTTATAGAAATTTATAGAAAGCTTATAAGCCATAGACATTTATACTTACTTTGATTACCATGTATATTTAATTTAGATAATAATAAAAAAATATTTAAAGCCAACTTAGTCAACTTAGTTTTTTTTTTTTTTTAATTTGTTTGGTTTTCTTTTTTTGTGGGT